TGCGATCACCACAACTACTCGCACTACCACAACCACTCCTCCTGTCACGACTACCACAACCACTATTCCAGTCGCAACTACCACAACCACTATTCCACCTGCGATCACCACAACTACTCGCACTACCACAACCACTCCTCCTGTCACGACTACCACAACCACTATTCCAGTCGCAACTACCACAACCACTCCTCCTGTCACGACTACCACAACCACTATTCCAGTCGCAACTACCACAACCACTCCTCCTGTCACGACTACCACAACCACTCCTCCAGTCGCAACTACCACAACCACTATTCCACCTGCGATCACCACAACTACTCGCACTACCACAACCACTATTCCTGTCACGACTACCACAACCACCACAACTGTTCGCACTACCACAACCACTCCTCCAGCCGTAATCACCACGACTACCCCTCCAACTGCAACCACTACAACGCTTGCCATTAGGTCTATATACATGTCACCCACCGCTACCAGAACTACCGCACCCTTGAGCACTTCAACTCCAGCAACCTGCGACTCCGAAAGAGTATATTTCTATAACACCGGATCGCCTACTTTGATTCAGTGTTGGCAGATTGCTTGTGCTGACGGCCAGACTCCCGATTCCACAGCTGCTACGCTCAACCAGTGTCATCTTCTTGAAAACGATGCCAGAAGAAACAATGGCGGAAATCTCCCTGCAGGCTGGTAGTCGACTTGAACTGTTACGAGATTATCGATACAGTATTTTCAAATAAACGAAAAATATACCCTTTCTTCTGATTTGGCATAGCCATACATTGTACAGTCACCCGATTCATTTTAATCCAGGTATTGGATTTGACTGTTGCCAATCAAATGGTACAAACTCGTGTGTCCTAAAATTCGTACGTTTAGGTTCTAATTCAAAAAACAACGATTGTACGTCAGTGCAACCATACATGTCCATCACCCAACATTGTAATGGTTGGATAAAAGGAGAGTGGATTGAGCAAGTATGGGATCACTGAAACAGATGCCAAGATTGATTCAGTTTTTAGAGAAATAAGCCCAACAACCAGTCGAGTTCAAGGGACACAATATTGTCCAGCAAACTGATACCAATCATATGGCGAGACTGGCTGTTTACTATGCATTTTGGCACCCTTATTTAGTGTTCCATTTTGCGTGAATATGGTTGAAAATGGCGGGTTCAGCTGCTTATTCGCTTATATCGAACAAGCTAATTTACGGGTCATTCAAGTCCTTGATTCATGTTTAACCAATGAATTAGGGCTTGATGATTAAAACAGGACTCGAGAACAATATGCATTCACCTCTTTTCTCGTCAAATTCAATACATAGAACCTACGCATTAGAGCTCCTAAAATGCCTACTCCTGCTGCTGTCATAGTGTCGGCTATAGCCATGATATTACTTGCACCTGCATCTGTGCTTACTTTGTGTCCTGCTATGAATGGGAGTGCTGTTGATATAACCATTACCAATATTGGTCCTGATGCTCTACAGCTCTATCGTTTAAACGACCAATGCCAAGAAGAGGCCGTCACAATCTTACAACCACGCAGACAGATAGTGGAGTCTACATTTGTAAATAAAGATTGGCTGGTGAGGAATGTGACTAGCCCTGCAATGATCGTAGATCACTTTACTGTAGCTTTAACCAGCACACCGGGCAATTTGTTTTGGGTGGTGTCATCAGCCAACCCACACGGTTCATTCAATCCATCGGGAGCTAATGACACTGCAGGTCATCCATCAACTTCGTCTACAAACAAAAACTCGTCAGTGTCCAACAACGTAACGGCAGGTGCAGAGAGCAAGCAAGTCACTTCTCAGAGTAATTCAAATTCCTCGGCTACGTCTTCAGGCCTATTCTCATGGTTTAAGCCGATTTATCTCGCTTTTTTGGGTGCTGCACTATGTGTCATTGGGATCAGCTTTTTTATCTGGCATCGATTCCGTAAGAGTCATCCGAAAACTCCATCGTCTTTGCACGCTCGCACTCACTCGCAAAAACCAAATAACCAACTTTCTCAGATTGGAATTGCTGATACAATGAAAATGAAGCCCATTCTGTCAGAGGGATATAGTAGCTACAGCAATACAAGTCACAACACCAAACACTCGGACTTTTTTGAATTTCCCAACTCATCGGTTGCTGCTAGAGATGTGATGGGTCAGGGCTATCCGGCATCTACACTTGGTCCGTATTTTGAGCCCACTAGCTCTGTTTTGTCAATTGAGGAACAGGTACATAAACACCGAGACTCGAAATTGAGGGAGCTCAAAATATTGAACCATTCAACCGAGATACTGGGTCGGTTGGACGAAGCATCTGGTGGAAGCACAAGCATTCCAAATGGCACGACTACTGATCCTTCCTTAATATCAAGTTCTATTCTTCATACACCCATGCCATTGCATGTCCTATCAGGTACACATTCCACACATGCCATGGCAACGGGATCTAAACGCACATCATCCATTCTCAGCACAAGTATAAATCCAAAAGATGTCTCGACAGACGTGTCCAATGCTCGTCACCAATCATTGCATATTGGATCTGCACAAACTGTCTGGTGGGGATACCAAGCCAAACAGCATGATGAACTGTCTGTTTGGTGTGGTGACATTGTTCGATTAAATGCAATGTTTGATGATGGTTGGGTAATGGTAACGACCCAAGACGATGTGGCTGGAGTAATCCCTCGCGCCTGCCTAAACATATCCCATACAGAGTAATCAATGGGACTATTCTGGTATATTGCTTTTAATGTAAAGCTAGATTGTATCCTAATTAGAAGTTTCAAGTAACAAAGTATTGGTCTAGACATCTAGCTTTACGCTTCATTAAACATATTTTGTAAACATTTGCTAAATTGTATTTTTAATTCTGATTGTGAATCAAGTCATGTCTGTGATTGCAAATGAACTATTATCATGATGTGGTCAAGACTTGATCTGATGTCGGATAAATGATGACCAAGAGCTCATGTTAGATACCGCACTCGGTTGTTCAAAAAATTGACAACTGTCAAGCACTGCTATGCTCATTTGTATAGTTTACTTTCAGCAACCGAGTCATGCCTATAGACTGCAAGTGAACTCGTAGTATCAAAAAGACGGATTAGCCACGCATGTTGCGAGGGGTGTATTATTTCCTATTGTGACGATATAAACCATATATAATGTACAAGCTACTGCCAATACGTTGAAATCCAAATATGTTTAATGTGTAGTAAATATCGAACAAATTTAGGAGCGAATGAAAAAAAGTAGAGTGCAAATGCAAGAGATGAGATGAATGGCATAATTAGGAATAAACCAAATATCAGAGACAATGTTGGCAGTGGTGAAAATCAAGCCAATGGATGAACTGAAGAAAACAGACGATTAGGTTGACATTAGTCGAAAAGGACCAAAGATATCATGTCTACAATCGGATCTAATGCACTGTTTAATGCACGCACCCCTCAACCGCATCCTAGTAAAGCAGGGTTACTCTTCAAATCCCTGTGCCATTCGTGCTATATCCTCTCTAATATGGTCCTGTTTCCGCTGCTCTTCTGCAAATTGATGTAAACGAAACCCAAAAATCCTAGGCACATATCGCTCAATGGTTTTTTGCGGAGCCATAGTTGGAAACATTTGGAGCAGTAGATGCGGCAAACTAGTACCAAAATAAGCACCATCTACCGCAGCATGTTTCTTTGAAATGGGGGAATAGACATCTTCGCATCGTGGGCAATATAACTTGACACCCTTATTACCGCACGAGTCAGAAAGACCCACAGGCAAAACGGTCTGGTTATGACAAAACACTCTTGGACACCGCCCAAACTCGCAAGCTTTGAATTTTTCCAGCATTTTGGAAAGGCCGCGGTTGGTGATGACAAACCTGGCATGGATAAGACCGTATAGATGTCGAGCAGATTTTTCAACTTCGTCCCACATCGCAGGATCTAATTCGTCCTCCAAAGAGTCAGTAATAAGTTCAAATGCCTGGCTGTAGTATTTGACTTCGGCATGGAGTCCTGCAAGATTGAACCGATCCAGAATGTATTCTTCGTCAATTTCGCAAAAAAACTCGTTACCACGGAGTGAAAGAAACCATTCTATCCAAGTCGAGTTGGAGATCTCGGACCCATTTGGAGATTCGCTATTCTGTATGCCGAGAAAGTTGAGTGAGATTAAAGACAATCAGACCACAAAGGGTTAGTATTTGGCAGTATATAAAACCAATGAGCTTCAACGACTAAATTTCGTTGGGCTTAACAAGTGTTGATATCATTGCTGAATTGGGTCACAGCTGAATAGGCTACAAGCTATTCTGGATATGCAAAAAAATACAGCAAAATTTATAGAAAACGAGTGCACATGAATCAATGGATTTTATAGAATGTACAAGTCCGAAACTACTATAGCATCCAGCTATATCCTGTAAAGGCTACATGGCCATATGAATACAGTTATGCCATAATCCAAGTAGGTTTACAGCAACCCATTTCGGTCAACATACTCATCCCAAACAAAAAAACAAACCAGTCTCACCATGATTGTGAAAAGCTGCAGCGACTGAAACAAGACAAAAACCAAATATCAGTTTTTATAAAAAGACGCTGTGAATGAGCACTTGATAAGCCCAGACCTGCAGCAGGAAACAAGTTGGAATGGTAAAGAGAAGAATATGTATATATGTGCAACAGAATGGCAGACACAAGGGCTGTGCGTTGAGCCTGAAGTTTCAACTCGAAAACAAAAAAAAACTGAAAGACAATTTGGTGGTTTCGCCCATTTTACAAGACTGGCTCTGGATTCAACCCTACGATTATCTGAAACAGAATACACTGACAGGCTAAACCAAGTTGTAAAAAGCATCCATTAAACAGACTTGTATTTCATGGCTCATTTAATATAAACAGTCGTGATATTAGTTTGACACACTGATGCCATAGTGATCGCTCAAATAATCAATGATTGCAGGAGTGGTCGACAAGCAATTGAAATGACGCTTTTCTGCTCTCTCCATGCTAGCATCCAGCATATACATAAGATGGTGGTGTGTAATAAAATGCGTGGATCCGTATCCAATACTTAGTTTGAGGAATTTTTCAACACATTCAAATGGTGTTGTGTCATATCCAGAAAATAAGGCTAAAATCAAATCAATCATTACTACATTAGAAAATAAGCAATCGTATAACATGCATGGCATCTATACAACAGTCATATTAATCATGTCACAGCTACCTGGATTCTCAAGTAGTCCACGAGCAGCCATGACACCATCTACGCGAGTCTCCTCCACAAGTCGGTCGGCATCACCCAGAGTCAGCACATTTCCATTGGCAAACACGGGCACACCAACACTTTCCTTTGCAATACGAATCCCATCCATGTTTAATGGCTCAGTGTTTTTTTGCTTCCGAGTACGGCCATGAACCGTGATCCAATCCACACCAATAGACTCTGCCCGTCGCACAAACTCGACCGTTTTTTTTAAATCAGAATGAATCCGGATCTTGATGGAGCAAGGAAAACTGGTACCATTGGCCATTTTTACACTTGATGTGCGGGATTTGACTTGCTTGACCATATCCCGCACCAGTTCTGGATGCTCCATAAGATACGACCCAATTCCTTCAGATATAGCCCATTTTTGTGGGCATCCACAATTTAAATCGACTCCGTTGGTATAACGAGCAACAAGCTCTGCAGCATCAGCCAAATCAGTTGGGTTACTTGCTGCAAATTGGACAATAACAGGATCATCAGTGATTTGATGAGTGCGGAATTCAGTTTCTCGGGAAATCTGAGAGTGCTTGAATACATCCGAGAGAATCATGGGAGTGTACGCTAAATCGACATTATACCTAAATTTAACAATCGAGTATCATGGCAGATCGAAACCATAATTGTTGATATAAATCATTTGCCACATAATATTAGTTGATTCGTATCAGTCTATGGATAAAGTCTGTTTACCTTGACAGCACATTGATACGCTGCTGTATGTATGGTTATGCAAAATTGGTCTACTCACCCTCGGACCAGTTCTCGAAATGCTAGTTTGGAATAGCGGACCATGGGAGCACATATACGCATATACCTATTATTTGGATCATTGAGTTTTTCCAATGGATGATTTCGGCGGTGATTGCTATCGACTTGTTGGTCCATAACAGTGCTCAAAGATAAATGATCCAAAAATGCAATATGGTTATTTGCTTGAATGGTCAAGGAAATTCATATATTCAAGACTTCAAATGCAAGTCACGTGGAAATAATCACTGGGATTAACATCATGCAAATCGAGATTGTCCTCGAACCAAACTAGTGTTGGCATTCATTTCTTGATTGGTATTGACTTGTTAATCCGCTGTAAAACAACGAGTTTACAAGTGAATGTTTCAAATCAAATAGAATCAATACTTTGAGTCGGATACTTATTCTAGCTTTAATGAACCTCGGATTTCGAACGAACCCAAGCCAATCGCATAATCTTACAACTTGAAACTAATTGCTTCATATACTCTTTATGTTGTTGAAAGGTTTATACAGCGCTGAAATGGTTGATATGGTGATAGAAAACGCAATACATATTTAAACACCTCGCAAACTAGAATGCATAAATGTTGCTGAAAAAGATGGTTCAAAAATCAGCTGTAACAACTCCAATATGCAATGTTTTTTATTGGGTTTAAATGCCAAGATAATGGTGTATGGGATATTGAGAATAAAAACAAGATATTGGTGATAGGCTTTAATTCAAATCAAACTACTTATTGCGTCGGATACTCTGGCTTGCAGCTGCGTTTTGTCTCACATGATGTCGACGCTCCATAACAAGGGATCGATACTTTTCAATGATCTTTTGGTTTACGCCGCCAATGCCAAACGAAAGTCCATTTCCACCTAAACCAGTGATATGGTGGTTTACGTGAGCATGACTTGGAGTAGCTTGAGGACGAAAGGGTGAGGTGGGTCGATAGTGTACGGGAGGTGACTGTTGGCGAGCACGATGTCTTCTTACAGCATTTTGAAATGGTGTAAGTGGAGATCCAGACAATCCACTTGTTCGTGATCGCCAACGCGACGTGTCAGATACATGAGAAGTTGATGTAAATGAATGTTCTTGCTGCTGCGTATGAATTGGAGTGGGAAGAGATGATGTTTGCATAGATGAACTGTCATCCTCTGGACGTCGCGCATGTCGTCCATTTTCGCTTCCCATCCGAACAGGACTGGGTGGAAATCGACTTAATCTAGGCGAAGCAGGTCTCAGTCCAGATCCAAATGGATTTCCAACTACTCTTGGCTTGAAGCACAATGTTATAAATTCTTCACAGTCAATCACACTTTTTGGCAAATCTTTAAGTAATCTCCATGCGTCCGCCATGTCCTGGCATTCAATAAGCTTCTCCTCATGAATGTGGAGAAGAGTAAGTGCTACACGGAATAAAATCTTTTCACCTTGGTAAAAAAAACAGTCCCAAATCCTTAATACTGTTTCTGTTGGCATCGTGTTGACAAAAAGGGTCATAAACCATGGTGTTGTAACCATAGCCAACGCTGATGAATACGAGTCAATATCCATGCTGCTGGAATCTTGACCCAAAAACGTCGAGTCTTTTGATCCAGATCTGCCATTGATCATTTCAAGCCATTTGGATAAACGTTCCAATCCAAATTTCGACCCCTTGTGTTTCAATATCCATGTCCACAAGACCTCTTGTTGTATTTGAGATCCTTCCAATGTGTAACCGTACATTTCTGGTGGAAGAAGACACTCGACAATGGCTACAAGCATCCAAAACACGGATTGCTCGACCTCAATGCGAACTGCCTCATCTCCAGATGTAAAAGCTGCGTTGGTTTGTGGGTCGCTTTGAACAAATACAAGAAGAAGCATTCCAACAATAAAATTGAGCGATTGGCAGTATCCGATTGGATAGGGACATGTGCGCCATGGAGTGCGTGATTCGTCTGGATGAGGCCAGGAGTAGTATGCAAATGATACGAGTACCTGGCGAAGCGAAAGAATGTATATGTTGGTTTCGTTGGATATTTTTGGCAGACTTGGCGCTGAACATGAAGATTGAGCTGAAGTAGTACCGCCTGGAGAAATCGGAATGGTGAATTTGGAATGGTAGTCAGATAGCATCGGCATGTCTTCTACTGCAGTGGAATTACTTAGTTGACTGGATAGTGACGCCAGTGAAGAAACCGAGTTGGATGGTATTACTGCGTCTGAAGTGCATGGCACGCAATTGGACTCTAAGCCACCAGAAGACAGATTTGGGCTTGAATTCATGGTACCTAAGCTTAGATTAGATAACGTAGGACTGCTTCCAAATGTGAATTGTGGATGTGGATCCGGGGATACACATGGTGAGCTGGTCGAACGTGGTTGATGTTGAAAGAAATCATTATCCGGAAATGTTCTGTATAGATCTGGTTGAAACGATGTTTCAGTAAAGTAGATTCGTTGTGGCAATCACAAGATTAAACTGTTAGTATATCGCATTTAGATTGTTTTAAACGGTGTCACCAATGCTATTTACAACAATCCAATCAGAACTCGGAATTACCTCGTTCAATGATATCCACGTATTCCAAGATCGCATTGTTTCCGCTATGATATCCTTGTCTCCGATCCTGTGCTTCTCGAAAGCACAGTATAGTGTATAGACCAGGCTCTTGAGCACAAAGGGCTTCTGCTCCGCTGAACTTGAACCAAACCTATTGTCAAGATAATATCAAATTATTTGAATGCATGTGTAAATAAATTGGGATAAAGTTAGCATTGGATGAGATGGGGTGGATAGTTGCAGATGATTAAAAAATGGAGTGGCTGTTAAATCTTACACTTGCTCGGTGCTTCATGGGAATGCCCTTGCGAACCATGCGCTTAACTATATATACAAATGGTTAGAGAATAGGTGTTGTAAATCAGATAGATGGACCAGTAAGCTTAATCACGGATCAAGCAGATGGGTCGACATGTTAAAAATGTCTGGGGTTTACCTTGGTCTGAACGAGGCAATGGGTGTGACATTCGACGACCATAGGAGGCTGGTCGAGAAGTACTTGTCGAGTTGGAAATCAAATTAGAATCAGAACGAGTCCAGCTTGACTGATTTTTTTGAACATTACTCTGGTTGTGAGATTGCCGATTTTTTGCGGCTACCGTGGAAGCAAGCGACAAATTTGAGGTTGATGTAGACCCAGACAGGTGAAATGAAGTGTATGGGCCAGTCAAGGAATGAAATTTTAAATAGTTTTCCCACACTTCTAGCCTCGAAGAGCAAATGACTTCATATGCTTGTGTAAAGGATATGTATTCGGGCGTTGCTCGTAAGGGATGTTTGAATCCAAGCGGATCTCTAGAAGTTGTCATGGGCGTGTTTTCTAATAAATTGTAGTTGCCTTGAAGCAATCGATATATGCCAAACTGTAGATTGTTGTTCTATAGCTATAGCTATATTGGGCTGGTGGATATGTAGAGCTGAGGTGCAAATAGGCAGCAGGTATGGCCCAATATAGCTACCAAAAGATACCAGCACTTTAAAATGCAGTTTGATGTAAGCAGCTTTGCAAACGATAAAACAGACTTTTGTGGATATATAAAGGATAGCTAAATGAAAAGTAAGCTTAAAACTGGCGCCGTTACAGAGTTGCAGACTACGCGTCGAGACGAAAGTAGTAGGGATAAAATAGAGCACAGGTGTGTGATGTTTCAAGTCAACCCTAGAGGTGAAACCGCAGTAACCAATCGATTTCTACCGTTGGTGTACAATACTACAAGTAGGCGAAAAGAGCCGTAGACTCAGCCGCAAACCATCAATAGATGAAATATACACAGCATAACAAGAGCGTGGCTTATGGGTGGGCTGTAGCGACACGATGTATCCAAGCAATACAAACACAAGGTGGGTACGTCCACAAATGAGCCATTGCAAGATATAAATCAAAAACGGTTTATTGTGGTGATCCCGTTTATCCACTACTCATCAACAGACATTTGTGCATTAAATAAAAAGAAGCACGATTCTTGGCGTCCAAATTGGACTGCTTCGCAACCATGATAAGCAAGAGTAGTGAATTGAATGAGAAACAAAATAGGGATGATGAGCCTAGAAGTTATCTAGCCCTGAGTTGCTGACAGAATACAACAACAGTTGAGGTTAGAAGCGTAACAGTTTAGAAATAGTTGAATGCAAAATCAACCAGAAATAAATATTAGAATGCATGAGCGATTCGATATACAGACGAATGCAAGCGAGTCGAACGAGTTTCTAAAAAAGGATCGTCGAATTGCTTGAAACTACTGCATAGTAGCCCTTTCGAATAAGGACTTGCAATTGGCATCCCTATGGTTTTAGCCAAAGTTTAGAGCGTACAAAGTCAATCCAAAACATTCAGTTCATGGCATTGCACATGAAGCAATATTCAAAAACACATCCTATTCATCAACCATACCAAGTTTTATTACAGAAACAAGAGCAAGCACACTCTTCCCAAGCTATGCTAGATTGGGCCAATCCTGCCATCTACAATTCAGAGATTGGTTCTACCACAGCATTCCTTTTCACAAGAGATATTGAAGAATCCTCGACAGCCATGCCTGTCCAAGAACAACCTGCACTTGAATCAAATGGCATGCGGCTGGCTGCTGCCATCTCTGGTCCTCTCTGTGCTTTACTGCTCATCATTGGTGGAGTGCTGGCACTCTACTACAAAGGATTCTTTGCTATAGAAAACGAAGTGTCGAGCAGAAACAGGAGCAATCGCACCAATGTTCATCAGCACCCACATAAAAACAAGCCCACCAAGGACCATAGTGTAAAGGATCAGCAGCTAAACCACCAGCACCACTCTAACCAGCATTCACTACCGCAGAGCGGTCGAAACCATACCCGATTGTCGCATCGAAAAATGCGATCGAAGCGGTCAATGCGGCATGTTACTACTGATGGGTCAGTGCGAGCAGATGGAGTGGCAAGTATAGGAGCAACAGCAGTAGGAGCAACCATTGCGTCAGGAGGATTACGACGGCATCGATCCATAGCAGCATTACAATACCCAGAAGCAGTCATCACCACTGTTGGCAGCAACAACACTCCTGTCATCAATGCAGCTATCAGTAACAGTTGTACTCACAATGGATCGTCACCACAGCGTACTCCCACTCCAATCCTAACCGGCACTTCAGCCATGATCAACTCGTTTTTAGCTCCTACTGGATCCGTACGCAAAACACCCACCATCACAGGACTCCCTAGACTTGGCCACCACAACCAGCAAGACGATAAAGCCTCAAAACAGTCTCTATCAGCACTGCAACTATCTCAGCAGCCCATTACCTCGCAACCACTGCAGGGTCTACATTTGTCTGCATGTCCTTCTCTAACCGGAGGAACCACTGCTACCACTGCCAACGGAGGATCTATATCAAGCGCATCCAGGTTTTACTCACCCGCATACAGTCAACAGCAGTTGCCCTATTTGGGTGCACCAACTACCACTCTACGAGGTTCATCTGCTACTCTCAACACTCTAGAAGACTATTTGACACTTTGTCCTGAAGACGATACGCCTCTTGCAAAAAGAGCTCATACCTATCCCAATCCCACCACTGCCGTTACACCAGACATTACATGTGCAAATAACCTCGCTCCTGGCCACACCACCAGTCCTGATAGGAGCACCAGTAGACCGTTATCCTCCATTCCGTTGCAATCCCATTCTATCCATATTTTCTCTGATTCCAATCCCTTGATCAATACTGCATATAATAACTCTCGGATCCTAACACCACCTGAATCTATGGCTCACAGTATCAGCACTCACGATCACATCATTCATATCCATAGTGATGTGCGCAACGAGCAATCGACTGATATAGAAAAGACAAGTGCACCTGTTCAAATACCCATGACCGCCAAAACAGCTGATACAACTTATCATATTCGATGGAAAAACTCCCAGATTGCTACCAGCAGACTCGTAAATAACAATGACTCGTCTCAACAGAGGCAGTTGCAAGCCTTGTTGTTGAAGCTGAGTGAGGTTTCTGATAGCGAGGGATTATGGACAGACGAGGATGATAGCGACGATTTCGATGATGAAGATTCAAGTGATGACGATATGCGCGAGACTATTGCCGAATATTCCGAATGGCTTGAATCCGTTCATGGAGCACAGACATCATCCTTGTTAGATCTGGAAGGTGCATTTGGTTCAGAGGATTGTAAATCAGTGACTCAGTCCGAGTCCAAACTCGCTGTTCGATTGTCCAATCAGCCACGATCTCGTCCACATAGTCGGAATGGCAGTATTACGGATGGAGCCAATTCACAACGACAACATCAATCATATACGGCACATCAATCCTTTGAAGCTCGATTGAAACAGCAACTTCACCTGCAGCAGTATCAGCATCAGCAGTTGATCCTTTCACGTGTAGCAGAAAATGTATCTACTTCACCGAGAGGTATGCATGTAATTGATTCCATTGATACTTCCAAGAGTACATGGAAGCTTGGTGGTTTAAAATACATCAGTCGTGAGGAATCTAAGCGTCTTCATGCTGAACGTCGTGCTGCGGCCCGCCGACGATCTCACCGTGAGAGCCATAGTATGGTATCTCGTGTATCTTCGACTGCTCAAAGACGGCATGACCAGAAACGACGATCATCTCGACGATCATCTCGACGAAGTATGCTGTCTTCTGTGGGTATATCTGGTGAACAATCCTTTGGTGTCAATTCTTCTGAATACGAGAGTTTCCATGCATGGTGATGACTGTTTAGTTTTGCTCTTGGGAAACGATTGCATTGGGATTTCCAGATTTGTATCCAGCCGTTAGCAAATACGACACGCTCTATTTCTTGTATTATTACACTAGTGTATTTTATCCAATCTTCCAATGACAGCTTACAACCAGCACTTTACCGATCCACTTCATTTGGAGAAACTCCATTGCTTGACACTTTCTAGACCGACTTTTCTCAACACTACTCTTTAAACCACCACCATCACTTGCATTCTCTGCCAAAGTTTCCTCTTTATATTTTGACCTTTAAATAAAATAATTGGCGGGATATTTGAATTGTATTACTGTTGATGGAGCACATTCCAAGATCGGAATGATGTCAGATTTGAGTGTTGAAATTCTTTCCGAAATCACGTGATGTTTGGATAGGAATGTGAGCGACACACTTCAACCGCCGTAACTAATGAACAACAACAAGCTTCATGCGGGAACCAATATTACAAAACATACATGGACAACCCTTACTCATGCGTACTGACTCGACTAATTCAAAAACAACGGTTGGGCCCGCATCACTTTCTTCAACTCCAAACAACTCGTCCCGTCCTTACACTGTAGAAAAGCAGCAGCTACTTGTTTCCAACGAAATGTCAGCTCCAGTCGCCATTGTTCCAAATGGTCAATACTGCAGTCCTTCCGAGCCTTTTGCTATGCAGAACCAACCATCACCTCATGGAGAAAAAACTCGATGGGAAAAACTAAAATTGGGATTGGTTACATTGGCAAAGTTTATTGGTCCTGGCTACTTGGTGGCTGTTGGATACTTTGATCCTGGAAACTGGGCTACTGACCTTTCTGGTAAGCCTATTTGCACTCGTATAAAACTGGAATACTCCAGTTCCAATCATCTCAACTTACCCAAGATCTAAAGTAATCTCTTTATCAGACAACACCTTTGAAATGCTTTGCTCTCCCTGAATGATGTAATATGGCTGCTTTGACTGCCGTATTCACGTAAAACACTTTTTGTATCGTGTAGTCATTATCTCTATTCTGCTTTGGAATATACAATGACTAAATATTTGTTGTGCTTTCCTATTGGACATCCTCAACTCTTCAAAACCCAACAGCCATGAAATGATGCTCACAGAATCAAACTGATTTTAAACCGATATTGCCCTTATTTGGCATAGCCATACATTGTGCAGTTGCCAATTTTGAAATTGGATTCATTCAAATCCAGATATTGAATTTGACTTGAAAAAAACTGCAAATTCATTGTTGTATTTTAAACCCCAGATACATTCGCGCTCTAGTCCAACATGTCTTGGGAATACAATTAGTCGTATACTAACTTTTGAATACATCTGTTTTATTTTATCCGATAATTGACTTGCTCAACTTTTAATTCATAAGCTGGTTCGCAGTTTGGCTATAAACTCTTATTTATTATTTTAATGGCTAATCTCATGGCAATTGTTTTGCAAAGTTTGAGTGCCAAACTCGGTGTTGTAACTCGACAGGATCTTGCCACACACTGTCGAAAACAATGTCCAAAATGGCTCAATTGGATCTTATATATTTTCTGCGAACTGGCTATTGTGGCATGTGATCTTGCTGGTATGCATTATTGATGTTTTGTAGATATATGTGTGGGCTGTTTTAGTTTTTAGATTATACTTGTGCTTGTACTTATTATATATATCTTGTATCACAGAGGTCATTGGTTCTGCTATTGCTCTTAATCTTTTGTTTGGTCTTCCGCTGTTTGCTGGAATCATCGTGACTGCTCTTGATGTGCTATTGATTTTACTTGGTTGGAGTGCAAAGTACATTAGAGTATACGAGGCCATCATTGCGATGATTGTAGTAACGGTTGGTATTTGTTTTGCCACGCTTATTGGCAAAAATCCTCCAGTCTGGAGCGATACATTTTTGGGATTTCTTCCTTCTAGCAAAACACTTTCTGATCCAGGAAGTATTTATAACGCTGTCGGTATCATTGGTGCAACGGTAAGATTTGACGAGTTGAACCAATATTTCTTGTTGGCGTGCTTTGAATTGATTCATGTTGCAATCTAGGTCATGCCACACAATTTATACCTTCATTCTGCTCTTGTTCGATTTCGTGCTGGAAATGGGCAGCATGAAGCAGGCCAAGTTCACGAAGTTGCATCTGATACCGACTCGACCAATACGGAGCAGCGACTTTTTAATAGTCCGATCAGTATTTCCACGAGTGTCAGAATGTCTACCATTGATGCGATTCTTGCACTTACGATTGCTCTAGTTGTGAATTCATCTATTCTGATCGTTGCAGCAGCAAATTTTCACTCTGTGGGTAGAACTGACATTGCTGATATTTCTGATGCGCACAATCTGATTGCACAAATGCTTGGCCCAGCTGCAGGAGTTATTTTTGCAGTGGGTTTATTGCTTTCCGGTCAAAGTTCAACCATCACAGGCACTCTTGCGGGTCAGTTTGTCATGGAAGGATTTCTTGGCTCTCAGTTGTGTATAGCTCCATGGATGCGTCGGACTGTTACACGCATGTTGGCTATTATTCCTGCACTAACGATTGTTCTTATTGCTGGCGATAAATCACTCAATGATTTGTTGGTGATATCCCAAATCATACTGAGTCTTCAACTTCCTTTTGCCATTTGGCCACTTGTTTACTTTACCAGCAGTCGGAGAATCATGACTGTAACGTATGGATCTGCTGGCATGAAATCGGAGTGTTTGAGCGAATGTGATCAAGAGTCTGGAGTTGCTACGCCTATTATGTCGGACATTACCCGCAACTCGAATGAAAACGACATGATTACACGTCTTGATGGAGTAGATGCGCAACTGGCAGTCAAGGCTGCAGTAGAAGCACCCATAACTGAATCATTTGCCAATTCGTGGCTTACAACGATTGTTTCTGTGATTGTTGGATTAGTGATTACAGTCTTTAATGTCATTTTGCTTGTACAAATTGCAACTGGAAGCAGTGGGAGCTGAGTAATAAAATAATCATTTGGCATATCTTATCACCTTGAATGCATTCAATTTTTTTATTTAAACTATAAGATTAGGATTGGTATTTGCAATATGATATGGACTAGAACGATTCCAGGTTTAATGAGAATCGTCTAGTTTTCGCTTCTTGATATCGTCCTTTTTAATCATTTCGATTGTATCCACCTGATTCTCCATCCTCTCTTGCAAGTACTTGACAAACGGTGTTTGGGTTGATATGTTGATGACCTGTTTAGGTTTTGGATCTGCAATAGTTGTAAGATAGAGTGACGTTGATGGAGGCATACCCTAACATGGTTCCAAATAAGAATAAGTCAAAGCCAAGATTCAATAATAAATATAAACTTACTCGAACAAGCTGTTCAGTACGTGAAGGTTCTTTACTTGATAACAATGAAGACTGAATTGGCAAGTCTTTTAACAAGTCTATCAACTCATTCTGTGACATGTTTGTAAGTTTGGGAAACTTTGTATTGGAATGCATTTTCAGTTACACTTTTACATCACGAGATAATACTTGAACACAAGTTGTCTGTTGTGGATGAATTGTCAATCCAAGTCAATAAACAGAATCTGATTGTCAATGAATAGTTTTTATTACAAAATTAAGAAACAACAATGTCATGACTGATCATCAAGTCACTGCAAGACTGTCAAAGTAAACTTGTTTCCAACGATTGATATTTTACTGTTTGATTTGCAGAATATTTTCATTACGCAATTCATTACTTCAATGCAAATGATGGTCGGACAGCAACCTTTGTTGGGATTGGAACTATCCAATCCTCCTCAAGATGGAATATCCAGCATGGAGTTTAGCAAGACTGACAAGAACCTACTTGCTGTTTCCTCATGGGACAAGGTGTGTTTTTGTATTCTTGGAGCATATTGATATCAGCTGCCTTGTAACCCTATCAGCACCTTGGAGATCAAGATACAAGTTGAATACTGTTACTACTCTATAGACTCAACGTACAGCGTATTCACGTAAAATAGTGCACTTGTACTGATCTTGCAGTAACTATCTTGGAATAGACGATTCAATATTGCTTTCCTATTGCACATTCACTGCTTCAATACACATTCTCGATTCTTCAAAACACAACGTCCATTATACAAAAATCAAACTATAGGTTTGATGTGGGATTGTTTTTTGGTATAATCATACATTGTACAATCACCAGATTCATTTTAATCCAGATATTGGGTTCGACTGTTTCCAAACTCTTTGCTATATCCTAAAATCTCATTCGCGCTCTAATCCAACATGTCTTGGGAATGCAATGGTTGTTTCCTGTCAATCATTCAATATTGTAATATTTGATTTGTAGAAAAGTTGAAAAGTATCAATAATGTGGAATGTGCTGAAATTGTAATGTGGATACTGCTTTCAACATTCCATCATTTCATGAGACTGGCTGTTTATTATGTATCTTGATCCTCTTGTTTAGTGATCCATTATACGTCAACACGGTTGTAATTGGACATGTATCTGATAAATGAGCTGATGAATCTTGTGCACTTGTACTACATTAGACTGTGACTATATACGATGTGAGTGCAAACCATCCTGTCGCTGGATATAAGCACAAGGCGGCAGTGCTAGATCTTGCTTTTTCTTCCACTGCACCGGTAGTTTACTCGGGTGGACTGGATAGAGCGCTTCGAAGGTGAGTTCCAGACTGTTTTGATGGGTTCTCTGGTATCGTTGCATTGTTCATTTTACAAAAACATGTCACATGGATAGATTTGATGTGGTAAGCAAGACTGAAACCAGTTTGGGAACACACGAAGAAGCTATTAGCTGTATCAATTACTCCAAGGAGATCGGTATGTCATGCTATTTTGTAACTCATGTACTAGTCCAACGATCAGATTCTCAAATATTCATTATATGTTATAAAGGTCAAACCATTACAGGAAGTTGGGATAAATATATCAAACTATGGGATGACCGCTTATCCATTTCTTTGACAGAGAGTTATTCCCATCCAGAAAAGATCTACTCCATCTCGTCAGTACAATACAAGCTAGTTGTGGCCATGGCTAATCGCCAGATCTATATATACGATTTGCGTAACATGTCTGAAACGCTTCAACGACGAGAAAGCTCGCTTAAATTCATGACCCGTCGAGTAGCATGCACACCCAATGGGGATGGGTTTGCATCCTGTTCAGTCGAAGGCAGAGTTGCCGTAGAATATTTTGATCCTGCTGAAGAAATACAAGCAAAGAATTATTCTTTCAAGTGTCATCGACAAGTCATTGATGGTGTTGATACCATCTTTCCTGTCAATGCACTGGCCTACAACTCCAAGTGAGTGGATATTATTTATCGTGAATAGGATCTAATTGAGGACTAACCATTGTGATATTTGATAGACACGGTACATTTGCATCTGGAGGTGCAGACGGTGTAGTGAACATCTGGGATGGACTCAATAAGAAACGTATTAAGCAATATCCAAAATATCCAACGAGTATTTCGTCACTTGCATTCAACTTTGATGGATCACTTCTTGCAGTCGCGTCGAGCTACACATACGAAGAAGGAGAAAAAGAGTAAGTTTAGTTTTGTCACTGTTACCTTGACCATCATGACTAATACCAAGTGTTTTTATCAGTCATCCAGTAGACTCTATATACATCAGATCTGTTGCGGATAATGAAATGCGACCCAAACTTGCTTCTGGTCATACTAAATAACATCAATAAAGAACGAGACTGAAGTATTTAACGTCCGAGTCTATTTGAATACTAGATCTGTAAACTTGGACGTGGTCTACTACGGAATTCAGAAAGCGTAGCATTTCAAGACATACACAGAGACCAGGGTTAAAAGGAAACAATGCGAATAAAGACACTGCATTGAATAGCAAGAGTACAATGTCAAGGTATGAATGCAGCGTCAGATAAGCAAGATTTGGCCAATGAAATCAGCACTCGATGCGATAAAAAACAAAGCAAGACAGCTTCATCTTTTAACCAACTCTTGTTTGTCATTCGAAATTGTGAGTATCGGGCTGTTGCTGTATGATGTTCAAGCATGCACTATACCATCTCCATCACTTCAACCACTATATTGGCTCGATTCAATATAGAAGTACGGCGGTAGTGCCAAATATGGATACGCCTGCTCAAGGCTGGCAATGTCCAAGCCATGCTGCTGGAATAGAATGGAATGGTGGATTAGACTGGTGTTGATTTACAGATACTTTTCATGGCATAAGACTGGTTGTGTTATGAAGAGGAAGACTAGCATGGATGCCATCAGATATCTTGTATTCACTCTGCATTCAAGCCATCCTGTTTATATTCTCTCCATCTATCATGCTCTAGATTGTTCCTTTTTGCCTGTTTTCTATCGGTTGAGGATGAGAGGGATAGACCCGGTTATGATGGATGTTGGTCCAAGTGACTCTTTGCTCCAGTGCCAATCGTGCAGGCTATTGTAAAGGAACCATCCAAATGCTCATCTGAATGCTCATCTGGCTCGTTGAGCTCATACCACCCTGTTGTTGTTTTTGCTGAGTAATGCTGTCTTGGCACTGTCCATGTTGTTTCCTTGTATCTGCTTCTCCTACTCCACTTTTGCGCATGGATATTCTTCATGATAAGCAATTCAACCGTTCTTCCATTCTTAGTATCCATGGGCGTGGATACTGTTTTTCATGTCCTACAAATTGCATACTCGTCTGTTATCAATATACGATAGTGTGCTTTTTGAATACTTGGCTATAACTCCGTATTATGGTCAAGTCAATAGATGGTGTCTCGATAGTCTTGCTGATTTTATAAATGTATTGAGCGTACCTAATTCCATCGCCTATTTGTTGATTTGAATGATCTAAAACTGCATCCTTGTAACTGGTTCTAATGTACTTGACAACTTTTTACTCTAGTGTCATTATGGGTCTTTCGATTTCTAAACTTCTTTCTGGCCTATGGGGCAAGAAGGAAATGCGTATTCTCATGGTCGGTCTTGATGCTGCAGGAAAAACCACTATTCTTTACAAGCTCAAGTTGGGCGAAATTGTCACCACCATTCCTACTATTGGCAAGTTGATGGATCTATTGTTTATGGGAAATGTTATGATGGTTGTGTGTTAATGTATACTTGATGTCTGCATTCATTTAATAGGTTTCAATGTCGAGACTGTAGAATACAAAAACATTAGCTTTACTGTGTGGGATGTTGGTGGTCAAGACAAGATTCGTCCTCTCTGGAGACATTACTTCCAAAATACTCAAGGTATTATTTTTGTTGTCGACTCGAACGACAGAGACCGTGTTGGCGAAGCCCGTGATGAACTTCAACGTATGCTCAATGAAGACGAACTGCGCGATGCTCTCTTGCTTGTATTTGCCAACAAGCAAGATCTGCCCAACGCAATGAATGCTGCTGAAATCACTGAAAAGCTTGGTCTGCAATCTCTCCGTCAACGCAACTGGTGGATCCAGGCCACATGTGCTACTTCTGGTGATGGTCTTTATGAAGGTCTCGAGTGGTTGAGCACAAGTCTGAAGAAGAGAACTTGAAGTATTTAGCTCTTTGGTGGTGTTGGTGGTATTTGACTTTTGGAAAGAATCTACAAACAAAATCTCTTTTTCCTTGTCCATTTGTTTTTTATTAATAATAGAGTGGGTGCACCGTGAGGTTTAGTTGTATAGTAGCGAGGTGGTCATCACGAGTGGCTTGTCATCTTGCCAAAAAAGTGCATACAATTTATTGTTTTTCATCACTTTTGAATATCCTATACGTTAGCAATACACGCAATGGATATGGATCATAAAACTCTAGTGTTGTCTGCCCAAGGTGAGATCAGTTCCTGATTCCAATATGATCTATTCTTATCGAATGCGTTGGATTGGAATCAGTAGATTCAGTGTAAACCTCTTGGTTGGCATCTACATTTAAAACGTGAGCGCATACTGGGCTCGCTACCCTTTGATTGGGATTCATATCTCCTGCATTGCACACCTGTATGGGTTTTTTCAAAAACAATCATTTGATTGGTACATGCTGTGATTTCAATACAAGCTGGGGTATGCATCTAGACATATCACCACTCATGTGCTCTTGACTAAATTTTGCTTTTACTTGCGACTCGTCAACTACACATATTCTCTGGACAATTATAATTCTGTATACAATCATCGCGTCAATATGAACACGACCACCGTTCCAATATCAATACCCAATATAACAAGCTAAAAAAACCACCGATGGATTTATACCCTATGATCAAAAACAACACCATCTAAACAGCAATCCGTCTAATAAAAATGCGTACTACTCACCCACTGAGCTGGATAAGATTCGTCAAATGGCACATGGTCCATCGGAAGAAAATTTGCATCTCATGCTACATCGCCAAGTAAGTATTCAACTCTTATTGATAGTCAACACTAAATAGGTGTTTGATCAACTTATTTACACAGTGGTCTCATCAACCCAACTGTATTTGCATTCCAAATACCAATGCTTGATTTTTTGTGGTGTTTGAATAGAATATTACATTGCACGCTTCGTCAGTAGAACGTGTCAAATTATGGGGAAATACAATCATGGGATATCGCAAAAAACGACTAGCTGCTCAAAATGAAAAGGCACGCATATTAGAAGTAAGTCCATCCTTACACACCAACCCATCATTGATTCCAACCACACCTTGATGTGTTGGAATCCATTGGATCTATTCTCATTGGTATGCTGAGTTTGGTTTAGGAAGAGCGATTAAAAGTAGATGCTGAATGGGCAAAACTGCGTGAAATGGAAAGACAAAATGCAATTCAACGAGCACGACAACTTCAACAGTCTGATCAGCCACGAGTCAGAGCACTTCACTCTCAGCTTCTTCTTTCCAACGTTTTGCAAGTAAGTTGATTTCATTCTAATCAATCGGTTGATCGAGGTGCATACGTTAATGCGTAAACCCATCCAAATAAACTTGTTTGCCAATAAACTTTGTTTATTGTAGGAGCGAGACAAACAAAAAGAATACAAGAAACGACGTGATATGGCACAAAAGATTCACGATGCAGCTGATGTGCTGGCTATGCGATTAACGCTTTTGGATGATATAGAAAAAGACAAGATCAAGGCTCAAAAAGAGGTAGTTTGTCGTTATGAGTTTGCCGATCAGATACGCAAGGAAATAAATCAAAAGTCAGAGGAAAGGAAAATAGCACGCCAGGTAGGAGCCACTGTCTTTCACCAGTGGTTGACGATGGGTTTTGGCAGATAGAATCCCTTTTAATTTTTTGATGAACTGCTTAAACAGATGGATTGTGACTACTATTCACATGTATACAAGGACATTGAGCGGGAAACCAAGGAAAAAAGTATATTGGAGCATGCTATAAAAATGCAGGCTGAAAAAGACAGGTGTAGCGCGCTTGCTGAAATGACAAAGGAAAAAAAGGTATACTCATGAAGCTTCCTTGAAATTGAAAGAGGGTTGCCTGCATATGAAATTTCCTTACTTGAAACCTTCAACAAATCTAATGGCATATCAAATGACAGGAAGCGAAATTGATCGAGATAAAATCAGCAGATAAGCTCGCAATGGATAATCAAAACTTTAACAGCAAAAAGAACTATCATGCCATTATGAAAAAGGAGCACGAAAAGCTTCTTGCTCAGTAAGTTTAATCAGTCCACTTCTCCACGTTTGATATATAACTGACCAATCCTGATTTTAATCTGACATTCAGACAAAGAGATGCCCGATTCGAAAAAGTGTCGAAAATTCCAATGCAGCTTGATAGAGAAGCAGATGAGAAACGTCTGGCTTATATCCTCAAATCATCACATGCTAAAGACAACGAAGACTGCGTTCGCCAAGATGCAGAGCGTGCCAAACACGAACGACACCGAAAAGAACAGCGCGAATTTCTCGATCAACATGTCAGTTATGCTTGAACTGACTGATGTGAAATGCATTGACTGATACTTAATGTGATGGGTAATTATAGCGACGACATGTCCAAGATTTAAAAATCAAGGATAAACTTATTGCTCAACAGGATCAAAAAGATTTGCAAGAAAGGTATGAAGAGTACGTGCACGAGATGGCCAAACAGTCCGAGGCAAAGAATCAAGCTATGCAGACACTCAACGCTAGCCAAGCCATACAAATTGTAAGGCGTTGCTCGAATCTATTCAAATTCCTATTGATACTGGTCAAACGATTGAAATCTAGTTTATTAAGTGGGACTAAATCTTGGTATTCATATAGGAATCCAATCGGATTGCAGCAGCTAAAATTGCCAAACAAAATGCATTAATTGATAGCGAGTTGATTGCAGCACGCCAAACTGAGGATGACGAGTTTGATGCATATGCGTCCAAATTGGTTCAAGAATGGCGGAATGCAGGGAAAAACGTTTCGCCCATTGAGAAGAGTTTAGAAAAAGAGCGCAAAGGGTATTCTCGGCTGCGACGAGCAGTCGTTAAAGATTATTAAAATCGTTTGAAATAAAGAGATCAAACACCTGATGGTTGGTATCAAAGTAATAAAATATTTGACATTCACAAGTTCGACTCAAACTATTGCATATGTGGAGAAGCTGCCAACTCCGTCAGTATGTTTCAATAAGAGGCACTCAACAGCCATATATTTTTAAACACTACATAGGCTCATTGCTATTTCCACTCTTTGCTATAAAAACATTGCATTCAAAAACTTTATCGGCTTCATCTACCTCGTTGTTGTCAGCTTCAAATACAGCCGATTTCAGCAAAAAGTCATATGTATCTCATGAACAGCCATTAACAAACGAGATGTTTGAGGATTTTCTTGCAAACAGCCTGCGCATCACATCTCAGTCTGATTCTACCAAAACAAATAAATTGCCATTATACACCAAATCCTCACAATCTCGGACTCGCCATCACGATAAACCTACAAACCCAACCCAGTTGCCAGTAGCAGAAACACATCATCGTAATCCGCAAAGCATCAACTCGAACGAACCTGCGCCATACCTTTCCAAATCCATTTTTAGCCCATCCCTAGATAAGCTCATCGATGCCATCAACAACCATGCTTATGCACTTGCATACCGTCACTTTATGGCCCTCGAATCTATACATCCAACCCCATTGTCAAATCTGCCACCAGCATACTATTCTCAACTAATTACAGCGATTCAAAATAATCATCAAAACATTATGGGCACTCGAAGCAGATCTATGCGTCTTTTCCGTACAATAGATATATTTAGTTTGATGGAAAAACTGGGAGTTCCAACCAAAACCGTCGTTTCAGTTCTCAAATGCATGTACAGAACCTATTCGATGCAAGGAGATACTGCTCGGATGGAGGATACTCTTTTGGAATTGGAAAGATTGGGAGTAGATATTGCCATTTTCCCAATTCAATCACTTTTAATTAGCGGCTATGTCAATGCTGGAGATACCAAAGCTGCAATGAGTTGTTTTCACTCTTGGCGTGCAAAGGCAAGGTATTCTACTGAGCCCTATCATGCTCTTATTTCTGCCTACCTGCATACCCGTTCTAGCGACCAAGTTGAGCACGTTGTGTCGATCATGCGATTAGGTGATGGCACGTATCCACCCATCCGCCTCACTCACAAAACCTACTCTCTTGTAGCTCGTCATTACTACAACATGGGAGAATACAAGAAAATGGAGCAGTGGCTTCTAGAGTATATGCAATTGGGCTATACAGTGATGGATACAAGTATGTATACACTTCGTGTATCTGCCTCGAATCAAATGGGCGATTATTCACAAGCGAAGGCCATTCTTTACCAAATGCGTGCATCTGGGATTCCTTTTGAAGCGAATACGTATATTGAGGAATTTATTGCGTACTGTGGAGATAAAGCTGACATGAATCATGGTACCGTATGGACTCTTTTTAATGCACTACGCCAAAAACGAAATGTAAACAAACGAGTGCTTGTATCCATGGGAATATGGATTGGGCCAGTAAGATCAGAAAAAGCGTTGATGGAACTCAGCCAAGCGATTCATAAGCATACAGCACCCTTTGAGACCACCATGATTTTTCTCGTCAACGCATACAGCTATCTTGGTGACGATCAATCCGTTATTCAATTGATCAAGAGATTGGAGTATGTACAAAAGGAAAGGTTCAATCCTAATATTTATTTGCAGCTTTTGCATGCTTATAAAAATGATGGCAAGTTGCATCAGGCTGGAGTATACGCCAATCATCTTTGCGAAGAAGGTGTGTGGATCGGACCTGAGACTTGGCACACACTTTTGGTTGCCGCAGCCAAGTCGGATCCATTGGTTTCAAAGCAGATTGAGAAATGGTTTGAAAAGTGGTGCCATGAAAAAAATGATTTGGATCTTTCAGACATGGTCAAGACAACATAAACAGGATCAATCTGGTATACAATTATACATTAAGGATTAGATCTCAGACTGTTGAATCTAAAATAAATGTACAACTCAAAGCTTAGTGTTTGGATATGTTCATTCAGTCTATGTATTCAAGCACCACCATCACGATATCAATAATACAGTCAAGAATCAAGTTTCATTAAGGGTAGAAATAAGTTGATGAATCAAAATCGAGCTCATGTATATAGAAACAAACTAGTTTGGCAATGAACTACAAACTAACTCAGACAAGAGTAGTCAGGGATAGTACAAAAAATAAAGGGACCTGGATATCGGACAATGTTATAAATATATATCAGTCATTTAGTATCGTGTAGCCTATAGTTTAGAAAGTAGCCAATCTAGTTTCTATCTAGGAAGCCCAGATGTGGACGTTATTAGAGAATCAAAATCCGCCCAGTTTTCAGGATTGCTGCCATCTGTATTCCTTTGAGGAAGAGATGAAAATGGAAGAGTATGTGCCAATAAATGAAATGTGTCAGAAGCAACAGTTTTAGAAGAGGCTACAGCATGCAACGGACGCATTGGACTCTGCTTTTTGGAAAGTGTGGAAGTGCCAGACTGTACTTGAAATAATGGAGACAATGTGGGGTTGACAGTAGCTACAGACCCAAGATGTACCGATCCCTGGCGAGATAGGGCATCTGAATCAGATCCAAGGTCTTGTTCTATTCCATATGTGTATGGTTGTGGTGATGCCACATAAAAAGGGGTTTGGGAGATATTTCCAGTGGCAGCAAACTGACTGCTGTTTAGAAGATGTGAAGGCGACGCAGAGAAACTAGTAGAGGACGAAGTCGAGTACCGAGCGATTTCTGGATCGACAGTATACATTGATATGCTCATGGGCATGCATGCCGTCACACTTTTTGACGATGAGACTGACGCAGGTGATCCATGCGATACCAAAGCTGTTGAAAGACTAGAACCATGCAAAGATTCTGTGCATTGCTGGGATAGAGCGCTAGATCCAGTAACAGCGGATCCGGCTGATGCTGTCAAAGTAGTGGCCGTACTATTACCATTTGATTTACGAGGCGTCTTGTTCAAGTAGTTAGTAGGTCGCTCCTTACCATACTGTTTGCTGTACAACCCACACGCATTACATAGATTATGGTTGCGATCGGGAGTACGCCGCCATAATGGGGTCACACTCGTATTACAATTGAAGCAAGTGAGATTTCGAGCCATTTCCCGTATGCGCTTTTTCTCTGCAGCGGTTGGTGGGATATCTTCAGCGGTGTGTGTTGCGTTGGTAGAAGTTTTGGCATGGGCACCCTTGACAGATCGACGTCGAACAAGAGATGCAGGCACGTTGGCTTTTTGACTATGCGAGTCTAATGTGAAAGTGGATGGTGTTGGTGGTGTAAAGCTGTCGACTGCTGACAAAGCCTGTTTAGGACTAGCCAAAACAGAGCCATGTGTAATTATGTCCTGAGTAGAGCATAGAGCAGACGAGGTAGCAAGGGGGGGAGTATCTAGCTTGCATAATGAAGGTAAAGAGTCGGTAGAAGAACGCCCAACTACAGATGCTCTGGATAAAGCATTATCATTATGCCTTGATGCCATACCCAAGCCAGAAGCAATGCCCATCCCAACATTAGATAGAATACCCATTCCCATGCCCAAGCCCATATCTATGCCATGATTTATAGACGCGCCCACATCACGGAACATTGCGGGATTGACTGTAGAGCCGAGAGTAGTGCCAGAGACCGACGAGTCTGGTGTGGTGCCAAGACGAGCGTGTGAGGCCTCGGCTCTGGAGTGGATAGTGGCGGGATCAACGAGGGCAGACCCATTTGTGATGGATGAACTTGCAGATAATCCATTGGTAAGATAAGGAAACATATTTGGTAACGAATGCCTCGAGGAAATTGCCGAGGCATTTAAGACGGGACCGGATATCTGGCGCAGTGCTGCTGAAGGTATAATTTTAGCAACATGACTAGTATTGAGATACGGACTATTCGAATAGCCCAGACCAAGAGCGTATGGGTCAGAGTAAGTGCTGTGATGTGCGCCATGTAAAGGCTGATAGGATAGCGGTTGTTGACTGGAGTGATTTTGGCTATGTTGGTGCTGCTGAGGATAAACAAACTGTTGCTGAGGCAAGAGTTGGTGCGGGCTCTGATATGGCTGAAGCTGCTTTTCGTGAAGATTTGGCTTTCGAGTTTTGTCGTTAGCTAGCCAAAAATCGAATGCTTCGTTGTGTAGATAATCTAAAGCCATTCATGTACATAAATCAAACACAAAGCAGATTAGAAAGGCTACATGATTCAAACAATAAACGGGTGTAAACCTCTGCTTTACAAATGCCAATATCATGAACAATAAAGCAAGGTTCAGAAAAAAGCAGACCAAATGTGGAGGTAAGGGTGTAGGAAAAGCCCTTTGTTCAATAACGCGCCAAAGCAACAGGATTGCCAAGTATTGTTTTCCAACGCTCGCCAAGAACGAATACAAGAGTCGCAATGACTACTACAAAGAGTGCATGAAACTATACAAGACAACTCAACGTGGGAGACAAGTGACTCAGCAAATACTGACTTTGCTTGTACAATGCCATATATATTGTGCTGGATTGTGTTGCATTGAACTGTAATAGCAGCATATTGCTGCTTATTACTACGGCGTTGCTTTGAGTCAGCTATCTTAACCACATGCATTAAAAGCAATGGGTGTCAAGTTTTTTGACACGATACAATGTGCAGCGCCCAGCACATTGTAAGATAAGGATGGCTCAATAGATGAAAAATGTGGGGAAATGAGATATCAAGCCATTATTTTTTACCTGTTTCCGAGTAGGCTATGGGATTGCTATTCCCAGGAGCGGATCGTTGTGCTTCTACATAGTGGCGTGAGCCATTCATGGCATGTATAGGATACGGATTGTATCGATCGTATGAACGATGCCTATAGTGATGTGCAGAACTATGGTCTAAAGGGTAGCTGCTGTTGTTAGTAGCGCTGTTGGTACAGGGAATCTTTTCCACACTCTTTGACTGAGGCTGTAATGATATTTGCGACTGAATCAACGAGTGATTATTTGGCTTGATCTGGTTAGTATCTGTATAGTTGTGGGTCTGCATATGAGACTGGTTAAAGGAGTAGCTAGTGTTGGGATTGCTGGTAGGCTCTACTGAGTGACCGTGCATATCTGAGTTGGTAACCTGTTGCCGTGTACTTGGAGCAGAGGAAAGAGCAATGTCTGTAGATAATACGCTGGAGAGATCCCTATTTAAATTGGCAGAATCAGAAGATGCATTCAGTTGGACAGAGAAAGGTGGGGTTAGAGTTGCTCGGCTTTTTGCAGATGCATCAATAGTCTGCAGACTGCCTTGCTGTTCCAATCGACCTCGTGAAGTGTGCCCAAGATGATAATCCACGTTATTGAAACAATACTGATTCTGCTGCACAGGCTGACATTGAGATGAATGGCTCTGCTGCTGCGACTGAAATAGCATGACCGTTTCTGACAAAGTGACGGGATTTGAATCTACTACTGGCATTTGGTCTGATGTACTGTCCAATCTGACTGCTGTGGTATTAAGATACAATCCATCACCATCAAACATGAGTAAAAGACGAAAGGCGTGAACTTTATAAAATTCCGCCGGATATTTTTATCTTATAGACCTGTTGCTGGCAATTGTGTAGAGTTTGCGAATTGGTGGCTATGGATAGACAGGATAGGCAAGAGCAACGTAGTGTTTAAAAGAAATAACGGCGAATTTAGAGCTGGGGTATACTAAGAAAAAGGAGCAATGAAGGCGTCGAAGTAGCAATGGAAAAAGGAAGTCGAGGTCAATTCAAATATATATAGTATCAATAGAAAAGCAGAGCGGTTTATAGATAGGCTCGCGAGCCAGTTTTTTAACTCGAGTTATCTGATCTGGATAAATGAATGTTCACCGAAAAAACTCGAGGTGCATTCGATTCTCTTATGAAAAACAGTCGACGAATGCTAGTGCCTGCAAGGCAGAGGGCAAAGTACGAGCAAATAAATGGCTGGGGTATGCACCAAATCACGGGTGTTTAAAAAGATTTGTATAGCGAGGGAGGGTCAATTTTTTATGGGAAGGCTGGCTGAACTTGAAAAATTTATAAACCAAGTAAAGCGGTGTTTCGGTGATAGTTTGAACTAGATTACATCTGGTTCGGAAGCGAGGAGTATGACTGCAGATTGCTGTGGATCAAAAGTATGGCTCTAAACTTTGCAAAGTGTAGCTTGGTCCGTATTGTGCAATCGCGTTATTGAACAAATAGTTCAATAAGCAAGCGAGGGGTGACGGTATGGTTTTGTTGATAACCCGCCGTATCAATGCAAAACAATGTTTTAATGTGAGGTTAAACTTATCAATGATTGAGCTGTTTGTCAAACACAATCTGGACGCCAACTCCAAAGGTTTTTGTTTGGCAAGCAAACTCAATCATTATTTCTCTCCACTCATGCCGTCACCAATTCTAGGGGTTTCATACTCGAAACATTTATTTGGCCCACCTGTTGAATCTACGATTGCTGATTGGTACCATTTGACGGGATCCAGAACCATGATACTCATACTATTATTTAGGGGTTACTCTAGATCAATTGTATAATCAGGCCGACAACCCGCAAATAGATTACATATTATATTTTGTCGTACCCTAACATCATCCATTGAGGTGATGTTTTGGCAAAAAGAAGCAACGAAGCGCTAAACGGCTATTATTACAAGCCGATGGCTTATCATAAATACAATGTGCTGCCATTAGATTATGATCATTTTGAATGCAGTCCATGGTAAATCACATTGCTTGTGAAAAATACTAAGCACATTATACAAGCAATGTCAGGCGGTAGAACTGTTATGCAGGGCGTAGCTATTGATGAACTTGACCTGACCATTTATGCATTTATTGTGAATTAGCAGTCGCCGTTCATTTTTGCATACAATGCAAGCTAGTGTTTTCAGTATCAACAGCTCTTGATATGATGTCACTAGTTGGAGCCATCTGAAATGTCCTCTAATCATATATATCCGCATGTAGCTTTACACACTCTTGGCTGACTCGATCAAATCCTTGCTTTTTCACCAAGGACGATCAGTGAATGAACATGGTAAGCTGCTAAACATACAAATCAGACTCGAGCTACATCATACTTTTTAAAGGTAATTGTTTTAAAGAGTGTAGCGTAAGCATTACTGAATGTCCAAGAATGCAATAGCTGTGCAACATTTATTGCTCAGTAGCAGAACAAAAATGATTCATGCTGCGGGCTATCATAGCATAAATGTAGACAGCGCCCATTGCTACGGCTTAGTAGCACAACAGAATAGATAAGCCGATCAAAGACTGAGAAGACCTAGTGGCACAAGATTAGAACCTATAGTCATCGAGACGCGATTGCCTAGACTGTATTGCACACTACTCTTGACTTTCAGCTGTTGCGTATTCACCACCGTATTCATTGAAAACGGAGTACTAAATAAGAGTCAACTAATGAACTTAGAAAACACAATGTTGTCCAGTGAATTGGCAACAATTATTTCATGAAACTGACTGTTTAGTTGGCTAGTCTTGTAATGATTGGCATGAAAGCACTTGCAGTCTTTGTTCTCTTGAACTAGAATGTATCTGTGATTTTAGGATACAATAAAGTAGAGTTTGACAATGTCAGAGCAGTCAAACCCAATATATGGATTACAGTAGATGGGGTTGGGTTCAAATGTGATGACCATACAATGTATGGCCATGTCAAATGAGTGCAATCTCAGTTCAATCTCACAGTTTGATTTTGTATCATATGATGACTGTTGTCTATTGAAGAAGCAGTCAATCTCCAATAGAAGAGCAAAACGAATGTTCGACTATTGTATATTTCAGAATAGATACAGGCTGTATTTCACGCGAATATGGCTGTAAACTCAGACGCTAAACAACCCGTAAGTTATATTACAAGGAATGCATAAACAGTCGTAGCCAAGTTGCAATCATCTTTTCGATTTTCATACACTATGAGCAAAGCTACTGCAATCCTTCTATTTCTCAGCTCGTCCACTGTGCTTGCACAAAAGGCATTTACTCTTGATGCAAGCTCAATAGCATCGTGGGTTCCTGAGCCAACTGATATTGCACCGATTCCTCCCAACTTTCCATTGTCCACTACCAAGCCAGTTCCCACTAGGATCCCTGTGCCCACATCCTCTCGAGTCTTGCCTCCTTTGACTTCCTCAACTCCTTCAACTTCCTTGACTTTCTCGACTTCTTTAGTCTCTTCGGCCACCGCAAGCGTAATCAACGCACCCAGCTCCAACAGTGCTGCTGTCTCGGTCCGATCTGTCACTGGTGCCATCACCAACTTTGCTACCCTTGGCAGCATTGCTGTATTCTTTCTTGCTGTTTTATAAATAGCTCTAATGGATTATCAGTCCATTTTATAAACTGGTTTAAAATAAAGGCTTTTTCATGATACAAGTCTTTTACATGTGTTCGCCAAGAAGGATAGCGATACAAGGAAACTCGAAAAGCAAATGCCAGATATTGTTTGAATGACAATATGAATGTTTGTAATAAAGCAACATCACGTGATTGGTTGGGTTTGTTATGGCTTATTCACGCACAACACATTTGTATTCATCTTGCAGTGACTATCTTGGAATATACAATAGTTGAATATTTGAATATTTGTTTTGCTTTCCTATTCAAGATTGGCAGTTTCAATAAACACAACGGTCATTATATGATACACAATCAAACTATGGCTCTAAACTGATATTGCCCTCCCTTGACATGGTCATACATTATGCAATCTTCAAGTTTAAAATCAGATATTGAAATCGGCTATTTTCAATGCAATTCTATACAAACCCCTGTACCCTAATCTCACAGATATGTTTGCGCTCTAGTTCAAGAAAGCAATGATTGCATGTATTGGGAATACAAGCGTTGCTTCCATGCCATATCCAATGTTTGGTTTGTAGAGAAAGATAATTGAACAAGTGTCAAGAATGTAGAATTTATTGAAGCAGAGATGTGAGCATTTGGTCAGCTTTCTATACAGAAATGAGCAAGACCAGTCAACTAAATAGTTTAAAAGACAATATTGTCCAGTAAGTTTGATGGCATCATTATTTCACGAGATTCGCTGTTTATTGTATTTTCGCGCGTTCTCATGTCTATTGGCACCACTGTAATTTCCTATAAATATGGACTGAAATCGTTTTTCTTTCCACCATAGTTTTCCCTTTTAGCGTCTTCACCTTTACCGAAGCCGCGAACTGACCAACTACTTTTCAACTTTCTTCTACTCTTTTTATTATGCGTGAGTGTATCTCTATCCATGTCGGCCAGGCCGGTGTTCAAATTGGTAATGCCTGCTGGGAGCTGTACTGTCTCGGTAAGTCTTTTGTAGAATGTAATAGATGGATATCTTATGTTGTCCGGCTATTGCTGCTATTGTCGGACATGATGGTGTTTTGGTCTGTGTTCGACCACCTTGCTGAATTTTGCCTGCCATGTCTTTAAACAGAGCACGGCATCCAGCCTGATGGTCAGATGCCCTCGGACAAGACCATTGGTGGTGGCGACGACTCCTTCAACACCTTCTTCTCTGAGACTGGTGCTGGAAAGCACGTTCCCCGTACTGTGTTTGTCGACCTTGAGCCAGTAAGTGTATCACTTTATTTTTATACAGCATCATGTCCACACGTACTGTCATGACAGGCATAAGATTCTACTGCCGCCGCCCCCTGTTTTGCATTGGGTTGGTTTTACCAATAACAGGCGGGGGAATATGAGCTGAACTATTATTGAATCTGATCACGTGAATGATGTTTGTTTTTTCACGTGGCCTTGCATTGTTGTCGCGTCGTGCTAACCATTACTGCTTGAATACTAGACTGTTGTTGATGAGGTCCGTACTGGCACTTATCGTCAGCTGTTCCATCCTGAGCAGCTGATTACCGGAAAGGAAGATGCTGCCAACAACTATGCTCGTGGTCACTACACCATTGGCAAGGAAATCGTAGATCTGGTTCTCGATCGTATCCGAAAACTTGCCGACAACTGTACTGGTCTGCAAGGTTTCCTTGTCTTCCACTCCTTTGGTGGTGGTACTGGTTCTGGTTTTGGTGCTCTGTTGCTCGAGCGTCTTTCTGTCGACTATGGCAAAAAGTCCAAGCTGGAGTTTTCCGTGTATCCCGCTCCTCAAGTGTCCACTGCTGTTGTTGAGCCCTACAACTCTATCCTGACCACTCACACCACCCTTGAGCACTCTGACTGTGCCTTCATGGTTGATAACGAAGCCATCTACGATATCTGTCGCCGCAACCTTGACATTGAGCGTCCCACTTATACCAATCTCAATCGTTTGATTGCTCAGGTTGTGTCGTCCATCACTGCTTCGCTTCGTTTTGATGGTTCTCTCAATGTCGATTTGACCGAGTTCCAGACCAACTTGGTTCCCTATCCCCGTATCCATTTCCCACTGGTTACCTATGCTCCCGTCATTTCCGCCGAGAAGGCTTATCACGAGCAACTTACTGTTGCCGAGATTACCTACTCGTGCTTCGAGCCTGCTAACCAGATGGTTAAATGTGATCCCCGTCACGGAAAATACATGGCTTGCTGTCTTCTTTACCGTGGTGATGTTGTCCCCAAGGACGTCAATGCTGCCATTGCCACCATCAAGACCAAGCGTACCATTCAGTTTGTTGATTGGTGTCCAACTGGTTTCAAGGTTGGTATCAACTACCAGCCACCTACTGTTGTTCCTGGTGGTGATCTTGCCAAGGTTCAGCGTGCTGTTTGCATGTTGTCCAACACCACCGCCATTGCCGAAGCATGGGCTCGTCTCGATCACAAGTTCGATCTCATGTACGCCAAGCGTGCCTTTGTTCACTGGTATGTTGGTGAAGGTATGGAAGAGGGTGAATTTTCCGAGGCTCGTGAGGATCTGGCTGCTCTTGAGAAGGACTACGAGGAGGTTGGTACCGACTCTGTTGAGGGTGAGGAAGAAGAGGCTGAGGAGTATTAGATGCTGCCACCTCAATGTTACCCGATTTTACAAATGAAGTTTTAATTCGTTCGTATCTGGTATTTGTTTTGCTATAAGCATGCATTCATGATCAACCATGCTCAAGATTGCAGTTTTGTTGGCCACTTTAGTGGCATGTTTACGATATTTATATTTCATTTTACCGGAATAGTGAACATCATGATAACGAATATTCTGGTGGATAATAGTCATCTATGCATTGCTGCCAGAAAAAGAATGCTACGACTAAAGGATGGGGGTGAACATTCCAAATCCTATCATCAACCTGATGCTGGGCTTTTAAGAACACTTGTTCTCAATTGGTACGATATTCACCAACGACGATTACCATGGAGGAAAGAGTGGGATGGCAGCAAAGCTCTGTGTAAAGACTGGCTGTCACAAAGGGCATATGAAGTGTGGGTCTCTGAGATCATGCTACAACAGACACAAGTAGTAACTGTTGTGCAGTACTATCAACGCTGGATGCATGCATGGCCTACTATTCATAGTCTGGCTGCTGCTAGTTTAGAGGTGTATCTGAAATATCAATCTTTTTTATTGCACAAGAGTATTTTATTCATTCCTCCATTCCTAACATCCATGTCTATCAACTACTTGAACATCCACCACAGGACGTCAATAAAATTTGGTCTGGATTGGGATACTATTCGCGAGCCAAACGACTCTATCAAGGTGCTCAGATCGTTGTATCCAAGTATGGAGGTCATCTACCAAGAACAGCTGAAGAGCTAGAGCAATGTATTCCTGGAATTGGCCCGTACACTGCTGGTGCTATTGCATCGATTGCATTCAATATCCCATCCCCTTTGGTCGATGGCAATGTAATTCGTGTTCTGTCCAGACTCTGTGCTTTTGGATCCGATCCAAAAGCAAGATCTTCGGTCAAGTGGTATTGGTAAAACTAACATTTGTCTCGATTTGACGATCTAATATAAATAGACTCATGTTTGAATCAATGTTTTATTTTGAAATACCATGATTAGGGAAACTGCTAAAGAGATTGTAGATCCACACATGCCTGGAAATTTCAACCAAGCGCTGATGGATCTAGGAGCAACTGTGTGCACACCAAAAGCACCACAATGCAATACATGCCCACTACAATCTCAATGCATGGCTTATATTGAACAAGAGCAATTCCAGCATATATCTGACACCACTACTCACGAATCACAAACGTATATCTCTGACCTCGATGACAAATCTCAAATTAAAGTGCACCAGACTAATCTCAAACCTAGCAAAGATTCGAGTCGTCGAGATATCCAAGATACACCATGTACTCATTGTCCTATGATCAGTGTTGCAAATATAGAAGACTGGCCCATCACTCGATACCCACTCAAAATAGAACGCAAACCACCACGACAACAACATTGTGCTGTTGTCGTGGTTGAGCGTCTACTCGAGTCGCAGGCCAATCAACTTTTGGTTTTGAAATCTCCAGAAACTGGTTTGTTGGCAGGACTATGGGATTTTCCAATGACAGTCATATCAGATATTGATCCCGCGACCTGTGATAATCCAATCATCACTTCAAAACCTCCTCCAGCCATTGTTTTGAAAAAAGCAATGAACCAGCGCATTCATGAAATACTTGGCAATGTCGAAATCATTTTACAACGTGATATGGGAACTGTTGGACATGTGTTTTCGCATATCAAGCGAACAATGCATGTACAGTATGTTCAGATTCGTAGCAATGATGCATGTGTACATTCCAGCACTGACGGTCAACAACCATCAAAAAGATCCAAGGTGGAAAAAATGTCTACTTCAAATGCAAGTGAAGATATTGCATGGTTGACCTTTCAAGAACTTGAATCGGGAAAACTAGGAACACCAGTCACTATGAAAAAAGTCTTGGCCGTATTTAAAAAAGCTTGTGCAGAGGGTCAACCATGTAAACCTCCCAAACTGAAAGCTGTAGACAAGAAATACAAAGTTGACAAGAGCTGCCCAATTATAGGTTCCACTAGAGTAACTAGGTCCACATCTAAATTAAATAAATAGTTTATTATCGAGTTTTGCTTTTGGAGAATTTTGATACCCAAGATATAACTCGACCATTACAGTCGTATTCACGTAAAATGAAACATTAAAATACATGATAAACTGTGATGTTTGGCTGGTTTAATCTTACTCGACAATACTGTTTTATGAACTCGTTGGTTCACTCATCGTTGTGCTTATTCTTGTACAAATATAATGAATGTCTACATTTTTGTTACAATACATTCCATATTCTTGACATCTTTTCAATTTCCAACCTTCCTTTCCTCCAACCAAACAATCGGTAATCATCATGGAAACAACAGTTGCATTCCTGAGATATGTTGAACTAAAGCGCAAACGCATCTGATATTAGAATAGAGTTTCAATAAAACAAGTAATCAATATCCAATAGCAACGAGTATGTAACGATTGTTTATTTCAGAGCAAAATAATCGGTCCAACATCAATACAAAAGTGTTTCATTTTATGTGAATACGGCTGTAATTAAACCACTCAATGAGTGCAAAAATACAAAAAATGCCTTCACCGCGGATTGAACGCGGGACATTTAGATCTTCAGTCTAACGCTCTCCCAGCTGAGCTATAAAGGCATGATTTTGTCAAGATCACACCCGGATAGCACCTAACGACATCTCTTTTATACCTCCCAGTTTACAATCCCACAATTGATAACAGATAACTATGTCCCTGAATTGCCGCGACCCAGAAAGTTCTATAAAAGGAGCCCCTTTTACCTCATTTATTCGATATCGTGTTAATAACGTTTAACCCAAATAAATCGTTTAGCACATCAATCTTGACTTTTACATAGAACTCCTGAACCCCTGTCGGCCTCGCAACACTTAACACAATCCCGAACCGAACTCTTGAACCGACACAATCCCGAACTGAATCTGAAACGAGCCCATCTCGAAAACCGAAAATTACGAACCAAAATGAATCCCGAGGATGCAGAGATAGCTTTAGTGCCTCGTTCTCGATTCTGAGGTCCTCGAACCCTTTCAATAGGAAGTTAATCTTTTCTGCATCCTCGGGATTCATTTTAGTTCGTAATTTTCGGTTTTCGAGATGGATTCGTTTCAGATTCAGTTCGGGATCGTGTTAAGTGTTGCGAGGCCGACGGGGATTCAGGAGTTCTATGTAAAAGTCAAGATTGATGTGCTAAACGATTTATTTGGGTTAAACGTTATTAACACGATATCGAATAAATGAGGTAAAAGGGGCTCCTTTTATAGGAGTTTCTGGGTCGCGGCAATTCAGGGACATAGTTATCCGTTATCAGTTGTGGGATTGTAATTTGGGAGGTATATAAGAGATGTCGTTAGGTGCTATCCGGGTGTGATCTTGACAATTTTCAAAAGCTTCAATTATTACAGATTCCTATTATCATATTTATACATAATAAACAACCGATACTACGAAATAACTAGTGTCGGTTTACTGGACAACATTTTGGGCAAGTATCAATGAGATCGATAAAGGTTTTAGTAGGGGCGTAATGGAATGGCTCGAGTTAATCTGATGAGTGATGTTTAAATTGAGATTTTATTGGCAGAAATCAAACAGTTTAATAAATACATGAACACTCAAGGTTGGAAACAGTAGCAAGGGACTACTCCTTCAAGACCATCCGTGTTGCATACAAGTGACCATCCATCACTATATAGTTCTTGAACTAGTAGCCGATCACCAGGCATAATATTTAATTCATCCGGTTCTCTAGGAATATGTGGATGCAGTACCAAATGGACACTATTCGGCATTGGAGGTATACCAACGACAGGATGATCAAAGTCACCATAAGAAGGCAAAGTTGTTTCTTTGGGCGACTCAGTGGCGACTGGATCTTGATTTACAACATTTTCCGAAGCAGCCAGCACAACCGATAAAAATGATGTTGATGATAGTGACGTGTCGGGTATAATTCCACTAATGCGATATTGGCCAGGTACTATACTGGATCGACTAGGGCGTCGATTGGTCATACCATGCATTTCAGAATGGTGCTCGCCAGTCAGTGGTGCATGTACTGCCAGGGACGATGTTCTCTGTGACTTTTTGGATTGAAATGCCATAAAGGGCATCAAGGTTTGAAACATGGCTGGAGATTGTTTGGATCCGTCAAAGGGTTTTCCAGACGCATCGTCTTGTGCTGGTTTCCATCTGCCTCGCATGTAGAGGATGATGCCCAATGCAATCATAACAGCTATGGCTACAAGCGAAGCTACCAATGCAATCATTTCACCCGATCGATCATGCGTAGATGCAGAACCAAACGATGCAACAGATGGACTTGTAGATGCAGTGGGTGACGGATCCTTTTGCTTGACTAAAGTATGACTAGGAGAAATTACAGATGAAAAGGAACGGGTAGCTACAGTACCGGTTTCAGGAATATTTGAAACAGTTTTGGTAATGTTCCAGCTTAAATCTGTTTCCTGTTTAACATTAAATACCGAAGCAATATTTCCAAGATTGTCATCATTGGTGCTTGTCCGAGCTATCCAAACATGATTCAGAAATGACTGCTGCGAGGATATACCATTCGCATCGATAACCTGGTATGCAATCTCGTAACAACTAAAGTTGACCCATGAAACGAGAATGGGGATATCAAGTAGATTCGTGATGGTGAGTTGAACTACTTTTGTAAAGGCAGGGATACTGCAACCAAACTGAGGTGTTTGGATTTGAATAGCAAGTTGCTGAGGAGTTGGTAGATGCGCTGACCAAGTCGAAAGTGAAGATAATTGAGGTGACGTATTTAGTGACTGTGTATACGCAACGCATGCAAATAGCACTGTAATTAGGAAAAAAGGAACCATAGTTGTTGATAGTCGAATAGGACGTGTGGTGAGTATATAGCGATAGCAGACAATTAGTTGATAATGAAGGCGTTGAGTTGATGGATACAAATGATAGGGGTTTAATCTGCAAGATCTAGTGGCTATATATGCCACTACTGCATTGTCGGAGTTTATCACCGCCGTATTCACATAAATGAAACACTAGGAATGCCAAAGTATAGTAAACATTGAATTCCATCAAGTGACTGATTTCAGTTTACTAAACACTATTGTTTTCTGGACTCTTTAGTTTACTGGTCTTCTCCGTACGATAGTTTAGAATATAATAAAGATGGTGTTGTATAGTTTGATTGGCAACAAAACAGCCGATTCAAACTTGCTGATCGTATAGCGTATGGTTATGTCAAAAGGTGGGTTCAGTTCAAAATTAAACTGGTTTTAAACTTTTCAAGTCAATGTCTAATAGAAAAGTGCAACGAATATTCCATTTCTATTCCAGGGCAAAATAGACTGCATGAGTGTTCCATTTATGTGAATCTGGCTCCGACTGCAAATTTAGCAAGTAATCGAGTATTATCAGAACTTAAAGTATGGTGTAGATTCAATCCACCAATAAAAGCGACAGTTTAAGAATGGTTTCAAGAGTTTATTGAAATTTACATTCCCTTTATAAAAATAAAACGTATACGGTTGCATCATGTATCGCAGGTTTCTTACACGTTTTTTATTGACTCGTTTTCCACACCATTCCATTCAGACGTGTCTGTCGGCTTATTAGCATCCAATATAGCTTGCTTTGCTCCAGTCCATGCGCCAGGTCCACTTAGTCGATACTGATGAGCATTCCAGCACCCAAACACAATTTTCCACCAAAAGAAAATATCGGAAAAAAATAGCAACCATAGATTAGGCGCCGCTCCAAACTGGCCAGCGATTTCGTCAAAATAGGTGCCAGCATCCACTTGAATTGTGTGTCTGGGTGATGTAACATATCTCTGACGAACCTGAGCGCGTTTTTTGTAAATATCCTCAAGTCGGATGTTGGCATTCGGAAGGTTTGAACACTGACCAGACCATGTACGAGCAATCCATCGTGACTGGAGTTCAGATCCAGGCATAATTGCACCTAATGGTTGAAAGAGACCCACAAACGCAATGCTGTCATAGTGCACAGGCCATACCAGCTTGTATAGATCCACTACATTTGAACCTGGATTATTCAAGCCAACAATTTTTTCCGCATCTAGAAAGGGATACCCAATCTCATATCCGGTACAAAATATGACCGTATCAACGGGGACAGACGATTTATCCTCAAATTCGACCATCTGTCTATCTGCCAGTCTGTAAAATCTTTTAACGTTGGGCTTCATTACTATGGTTCCAGTACTAATGCGACCAGGAAGCTCACTGCTAATGGTTGGATGGGCAGAAAACGGCTCGTGTTTTGGAAAAAGTCCAAACTGGGCAATATCCCCAAGCTGTACCCAAGTGGTAAACCTAACCAATATGTTACGAATAAAAATGGGTAGCATGGTATAGAATCTGCTTACGGTCTGATCCAAAGGACGTCCGTTGAGAGAAAATCTGGACATGAGCCATGCACTGCGCCTGGAAGAAACATACGCCTGCTTTGCATGATAGCTTAGCTCAACAGCAACATCAACAGCACTGTTACCGAGTCCAACTACCAAACATTGGCGATCTTTAAATGGGTTTGCTCTGAATATATTTTTGTGAGCTTGATTAGCTTAACCGATTGACATTCAACACATTTGAAAAGTTGATACAAAAGTAAACTTACTCTCTGTAGTAGTGCGAATGCATCATTTCCCCTTTAAACTCGTTCATGCCAGGAAACTCGGGCATTTTTGGTTTCCAGTGGTGTCCAGATGCAATAATCACCTTGTCGAATACGGCAGTAAGTTGATTCCCATCTTGCATATACTCCACTCGCCATTGCCCATTGTATGGTTTAGAAGCTTGCAGATCGTTGGTTGTAGACTTGAGTGGATCAATGGCTGTTACTTGGGTATTGAACTCGATGTGGTTGATCAAATCAAATTTTTCAGCATACATATGGTAGTACTTGACGACGGATTTGTTGTGTAGATAAATTGGCCAATGATGGGGGATAGGAAAGTCGCTAAATGCCATCTGCAAACATACATCACTATTTTTAGATTCGTTCAAATGTTCCATTTACAACCGTATTCATGTAAAATGAAGTACTAGACAAGGGTGTCTACATAATAAACACCCAGTTTCATAAAACGATTGGTTCCATCAAAGGCAGTCATTGCAAAATGAAGTTACATAAATACGGCTTTAAAACAAATACAAGTTACCATTTGCTTGCTAGTATCAATCACAGTATTTTTGTATACAGACGAATGCACTTTTTGGTTGGGTTGAACGGGCTCATATTGCCATAATCCACCCAAATTGGCAAGTGCTTCATAGCAGACGACGTTGGAGAAACCTTCAGCCAAACACTCTTTAAGAGCAACCAGACCAGAGGATCCAGCACCAATAACCAACACTCTCTGATCAAGCAGTGACTGTGTCATGTATGGATCTGTATGATATGATGAGTAAACCCTGATATCAAAATCAAGTTTTGATTAGCGTATTAAGGGTGACTAAAATCCAGAGTTTAGCATAATTCTATATAATCGCATTCAATCCAGAGCAGTTTCTAATAAAAGTGATATACAGCCATATTCACGCAACATGAAATTTCGATTTATTTTGCAGTCACTGCCTTGCAAGATCAATGCAGTCGTTAAATGTTCGCTGGTTTTCTACTAGATTGACTTTCAATAGATATTTGAATCTTTTTTGAACCCAGATATTGGACTCGACTATTTTCAATACAACTCTATTTTAAAACTCATACGTTTGAAATCTAGTCCAACAGAGCAAGACTGCACGTCTTTGGAATACAACTATACATGCCAATCACACAATATTTTAATGTTCATTTTGAAGAGTTGATTAAAACAAGCGAGATTTACTGCAGCTGCGAATATTCGCTTAGTTCTTGGTTGTATTTTACGCGAATACGACTGTAACAATCCTATCCACTCCACTCCACCAACTGTATCTATCAGCACTCCAAACCCTGAACTCGAAAGTTTAGTATTGTATAATCATGAACCTCTTTAAGCGAGCCCCATCAGCACAGCTGGGAGAAAATCTTCCTCATTTGGATGTTCATGCATCTCCTGCAAATAGCCCATTGTCCATGGAGCAACAGCCTTTACTCAATCCATCATTGCAACCTCATTCTCCACATAGTCCTGCTGCTGCTTCTATTATGCTGCAGACTGCTGAAAACATTCTCCCTCGACCGTCTGCATTCACTTTTCCTCATACCGAGGTTTTAAGTATGCGAGGGTCGGTGATCCCAAGTATTTCTCCCCTGTGTATTGCTTTGACCTTGTGGGCAGCATTGTGTTCGTATGTGTATATTGTCATGGGTATCAGGGAGATTTCTATTCCAAACCAGTTGATTGGAATCTTATCGGTAATTTTTCGTCATCATAATCTCCAGTAGCTTATTTTTGCCATACAGACTTAACTTGTTTTTACCATTGTAAATGCTAGGTTGTTATGGGTCTGCTTCTAGTGTTTCGTACCAACACTGCCTATGATAGGCAAGTTGATGGATTTAGTTTTAGCCTTGCTCAATGGTATCTAATTTCAGTGTTTGATGCAACGCTGTGATTAGGTTCTGGGAAGGTCGCAGGATGTGGGGCAATATGATCACTCATCTTCGTAATCTGAGTCGTCTTATTACAATTAGTGTGCACGGACCAGACACGCCATGTACACGGCTCAAGAAACATGCTGCTACAAATCTACTGTTGGCTTTTGCAGTGGCCACAAAGCATCATCTGCGGGATGAGCATGGAGTGTACTACGAAGACCTGCATCATTTGCTTGTGCATATTCCAGAGTATGCTCCAGGTGCAGCACATCCAACTGTTGTTAATCTTCCATTGGAGATATCTCGTCAGATTTCATTGTTTGTGCAGTTTTCCAAAACATCCGATTGGACAGATGTGCCTACTGCGAATGCTATGCAAGCCGCCATAGCAGGTCTGCTGGATTGTTTAGGAAACTTGGAGCGTATTGGAAATTCTCCCATTCCTATGGCGTATCTGATTCATCTCAAGCAAACACTGTTTCTGTATCTTTTATCTTTACCATTTCAGCTTGTCAGCACAATGGGATGGTCAACTGTGGTAGCAGTAGCGGCAGCGTCGTTTACTCTGTTGGGAATTGAAGCTATTGGTGGAGAAATTGAAAATCCATTTGGATATGACAATAACGATCTCAAGCTTGACAAGTTTTGTGTGGAAATCAAGCGGGAGCTAAGAGAGATGATTATTCGTGCTCCAGCTGCCCACAATCAGGATATTCCGAATTGGACACGACCAGTGGATCTCGAGGATAGGAGATCGTTTGTAGCTTCGGATTGATACGGTTCAAGACTGATTAAACATGTTTTACAGCCGTATTAGTGTAAAATGGAACTTATTTCATGTAGATATACAGTAAATGGGAGATTACTAATCAAGCCATTGTGATATTTATGAATTGAACGGATAGTCAGAATAGACAGTCAAAGAGTGTTTTTGTCAGAATTGATCGAACCCATATATAGAGCAATGGTACAAACCCAACATTCAGTCTTTGATATTAACGGGTTCAAGCTCATCGCCACAAGTGAATTATGTTATTCAACCGAGGCGTTGCTGGATTTTCGGAGTTGAAAAAATGTTTCAAATAAATGTAGTAGCCACACATCCACACTAATCCTGACAAGTTAGGATTGATCTATAAGTAGGTTTTTGTATTCTACTGAGCTACCAACCCTGTATTCTAAACCATGTCGGCGTCCACTGTCAAGTCGTCTGAAATTGTTCTTTTAGAGGTACCAAGCACAAGCACAACCACACTCCACCCTCGACAGTCTTCTATTAGCAAACACTATGGAGAATCCACTGTCAACCAAAAGGAACTTTCATCACCAAGAGCTTCCACTGATCTTGAACGAGGTGAAAGTGTTTTGCGAGAAACCAGCACGCACATCAGCAACACTCAGCAGTATGGCCACAAGGAACTTTTTGCTATCAAGGCATCTGTTGTTCCTAAAATTCTTTTTCCTACATTGATTCTTGGTGCATGGGCTTCATGGTGGTCAGCAGCATATATGGTTCTTGGATGGAAAAGTGTTGGTGTACAGAATCAACTAATTGGTATCATTTCAGTTGTAATGGGTCTGCTACTGGTCTTTAGGACCAACACCGCATACGACCGGTGAGTTGAGTTTCTAGTGTGAATAGTTTCCCAATCCAGATTCAACATGTCTTGTGTAGTTGTTTGAAATTGTCTTGGTGCATTCGATGTTTATGCAATTATGTAACCATCAATCAGCACTATTTTTTCTAATGGTTTGGTGGCTTATTGCTTAGATTCTGGGAAGCTCGTCGATTATGGGGCACTCTCTTTTCGCACACTCGTAATCTTACTCGTCTTATATGGGTGCACTGCGCTGCATCTGAAGAGAAGGATCTCATCAATAAGTTTAGTGTCACTAACCTGATCTTGGCCTTTGCAGTGGCTGTTAAGCATCATCTGCGTGAAGAAAGTGGCTACAAATACGACGATCTGCATAATCTGTTGATCCATTTACCCGATTACCGTCCTGGTGCTTTCCATCCTAAAGTGGCCAACTTACCATTGTTAATTACTCATCATATTGCGTCCTATACCACATTTGTTCGTAAAAATGGTATGTAACCCCGAGATCTTTTTAAAATCTACAATGCACTCTTGGAGTTTAATGTGTTGTTGAAACTCAATTTTTTACTGTGTTTATAGATAAGGTGGATATTCCATCCTTTGCGGCCATGGTTGCTTCTGTCTCAGGCATGGTTGATTGTCTTAGCAACTTTGAACGTATTCGAAACTGTCCTATTCCTCTAGCCTATTCGATCCATCTCAAACAAACACTTTTCGTGTATCTTCTTTCACTTCCCTTTCAGTTGGTGATCTCCATGGGATGGGCCACTATCCCCCTTGTATTCATTGCATCCTTTACTCTGCTGGGTATTGAGGCTATTGGAGGTGAGATTGAGAATCCATTCGGATACGATCCCAACGATCTGCGTGTTGACGAGTTTTGCAATGAAATCCGTACGGAACTGGCACTATTCAAGGACCATCCAATCGGTGTTAGTCCTACCCAGTGGGAAACACCGGTAGATATCACTGCTCCAGAGTATTCGACATTTATCAAGATTAATCAATTTCGTACTGGATCTCGCAAGGCTGAATAAATCACATTTGTTGAAAGATACTTTTAGCCGTGAGTTGAATTTTATTGAGATTTTCCTGTGGGTATGCAGGGTCTTGTAGTATTTTACTAGTGTTGAAAGTATATCTACACATATTGCTACATGAGCCAACGGTCATCGCCTAGACGACAGAGAAGAAATAAACCATCATATTCCAGCAGCAGTGCTTCAGGAACAGATATAAGAATACTCTCACCATTCAATGACTACTTGGAAACTCCAGCAGCAGGATCTAGTGCTGATCAATCCAGCAGCAGTAGTCCCAAGTTTGGTACTGGCAGGCCCGTAGTTACCAAAGACACATCCTCTTCAAATGGAAATGCTGGAAGAGAAGAATCTACAAAGTCTATTAATAATGCTAATGTAAATATCAGCAAAGATGCGATAGGAGATGAATGTAGCGAACGCCGTCAACCTGCTGCTGCTGGTAGAAAGTTATGGACGGACCCTTCTGCATTGTCATCTACCCCATATGGTAGTAATAGTCGCAAAATCAAAAGTAGACAACAGCGACGATTGGAGCAGCGGGCAAATCAGAGTCCGAGCAGTACTATTAGCAGAAATTCAGACACTGAATCTAATGCTGGAAGAGCATTGGGTCACACAAATGCTCCTGGTTACAAGAGCATTCTTTTAGATAAACCAGTCATCTTGGGACGGAATACTCCAGTTAATCAGCAGGACACATCTGGTTTTGCATCAGATACAGCTCATGGTAATCCACCTTCAGTCACCCATGTTCCAAGAATTATTGCTAGATCTACCGAGCAACCCACTCCATCTTCACCCGCAATGCTGTCAAAAGATTCATCTCATCTTCAAGATGCAGCAGATACCAAAACTTCCACACACACTGACAATCTGTACATTAATCAGACCATTCCACCTGGCCAGGAACATTTGGCCAAACTTTTTCCAAGCTTGTTTCGTCACTCGACTCCCACTGCTGTGAAATTAATCAACAAAACCAAGATTCAACCCGAAGCGGCCTTCAAAATTTTATCCGACTATCCTGGCTGCTTTGTTATTGGTGTTTTGGGTCGAGCAGGTACTGGAAAATCAACTGTTCTTTCAGGTCTGGCAGGATCGAATCCATTTCCAATTGGCAGCAATGCATCTGATGGTTTAGATCCGACATCTTTACACGATTCGGCTGGTCAAAAGCTTGGCATTGATTTGTTTGTTACTCCAGAACGGGTGATTTTATTAGATACCCAGGCAATCTTGCAGTCTTCTGCCTCGTCACAATACCCAAGTTCGCCCGATATGGATATTGCCGATGATAATCAAAAACTTGATCCATCTACCCAAACCGAATCGTCAAAATTAGCTTTATTTCTCATGTCTGTTTGTCATGTTATACTCCTTGTGTCTGATATGGCCCCAGATGCAGAATTATGTAAATTAGTGCGCAACGCCGAGCTTGTGCGATCCAAACTCTACCATAGTCATAGATCTACTGCACACGTGTCATCTACCCACTCTCGCAATTCAAGCCAAAGTTTTAATAGACATCGACAACCCACTCCATCAACTACATCATCAACGCCAAATTTACAATCCACTCACTCGCTTGATGTCTTTCAGCCCTATATTGTATTTGTTTATAACAAGTGCAAGACGGACATGCTCATCCCACACGGCGTATCTGGTATTTGGAAATCATTTCGAAAGCATTTTAGTGATACAGAATTGAATGCATACAATTTGTTTGCTCGCACCAAAGCTTCAAAAGCCGTTCATGATTATGAGCTACATATGCAAATGCGAACGAGGAAACATACGAATGAGGATACACTACCTTTACAATCAAATCGACTTAGAAGTAAGACATTAGAGTTACTGTCTTTGAAATTACCCATCTGTAATATTGCTTGTCTTCCCTATCAAAGCGAGTTGTCACCAAAATGCGATTTTTCACTGTCTTTGGATGATTTGATGGCAATGTATGGTGGTATTAGAACCCGATATGATGTTTTGATCAAGCAGTTGCGTGATGTATTGTTGGAAATTCCCAGATTTCCTGCTGCTTCGCTAGAATCAGGTAGTGGTGCCAGTCGTTCTGGATTTGTTAATCGGCAATACATGGTATCTGAGCGTGACTGGCTTCGTAATGCCGTTCGTACATGGGATAATATATTGAAACGGGATATACAAGCAGATATTTCTAGCGTATCGAATTTATCTAGCAGCGCTACTGGCGGAGCCAGTGGTTCTACAGACTTTAAATCTTCTCGACTCCATGTCAAAAGCTCCAGATCTCGCACTTTTCAGCATGATGCTCGAAATGAATAATGCAGCATTGCGTTTATTGTAACCATTTTGAACCCGTTGGTATTGAATTTATTTCCAAAACCACCGATTGCCATCCAATAGTGACACTTTTATTTGGAGGTATGGTTGCTGCGTACACTACAGCTAAAACGAGCTGCGATTCTTTATCTATTGTCTAGACTTGTTTTCATTCCTAGTTATAAACCATCTTGATCTGCTGTATCTTTCATGCCAAAGGTGGATCGATTTGTAGAGGATTTGAAATACAATAGTCTAGGCTGGATTGCAAGCGTTTGTGATCAATGATGGATGAATCGCAATGCCAATCGTGTATTTATTCAGTGAAATGATTCATTGCAAAAATAAAGATACCAAAGAGCTCATTGGATGAATATCAATGCATTTTATTGAGATGGTGTCAAGCACTGTGATCTTGAAAGTGTGTCATTGTTGCATCGATGTGTCAAATCCACAAAATGTGTTGTCCAGCAAGACTTGATTTTCACCCGCTGATGCGATTCAAAGCGTTGCAGCATTGCCATTGACCAGCCATTCAGTAGTACACAGGATATGGCAGACTCAAATCGTAGAACCCACAAACGAAGTCCTTCGTTTGATCCAGGAATATACTTTTCACAGGAAGATAGATTCCCAGAAAAGACATTGTCATTTCATCACCAGATATACGAACATCGATACAGGTTATATAGAGCGTATGAAGCTGCAGTTCCTAAAACAAGTCCAGTTTCTGATGAAGATGACCAGGCTTGCTTTCTTGACTTTATCGATACTGTCTGTATTGACATGTAAGTGCTTTACATATCCAAACTTACGTTCTGTTCAATCTCAAAGTATTCCAACTGCATTCATGTGAAATGGAGCTTTTTTGCAATTCATCTTGCCGTGACTTTTTCTACTCTGCTTTGAAATGGATCATCGTTATGCTTTCCTATTAGAATTGGCATGATCCATTCTTTATAATGATCATCGTATACTACACACTATAGTTTTGAACTTGCTTTTCTTTACATTTGGCGTGGTCATGCATTGTGCAGTCACCAAGTTGTAATTCAAATATTGGGTTCGACTGGTTTCAAGAGAATTCTGTATTCTGTATCCTAGTCTTGCATATACATTCGCGCTTTAATTCAACAGAACAATGATTGGACACATCAGGAACGCAACTGTTGTTTCCATGCCAATCACCTAATATTGTAATGTTCATTTTGGAGTTGAAGATTTGTTCAGTTGTTGCGTACAAAAATGAGATGGACAAAACCGAATGAACATTACAATGCTGTCCAGTAGATTGAACAATCGGGTCATGAAACTGGGTGTTTACTATGTACACACCCCTATCAGTGTTTCATTTTACATGAATACGACTGCAAATGAATGTCATTTATGGCTAGTGATCATATTTCCATTTGTCTATACTTTGGAGCAGTCCAATCAATTGTACTAATCTTTTCTAAACTCATGATCATACCCAGGAGAATTTCATACGGACTAAGCATGTATTTGTTGCATCTGTATATCTGCACCACCATGTGGTCGCGAGTATTCTATTGCGTGCAGCCCTTTTCCACAGATTTCTCAACCTTACAACACCTACTTCAAAATACAACACCGTCTTCATATATTGCAAGTATAATGTCATATTTTCTTCCATGGAAATGGCAACTTCCATTTCTTCGCATATCATGTTCAACACGTCCATTCATGTTTGTAGATCTTCTAGACGAGATTCAGCTCGTATACTACCTTGCTGCCTTTATTTCTTACCATTTCTATCCAGCCCTAGATGCATGGTTGGCTATTTATGGAATGCATTTGATCAATGGTATGCTGTGTATGGCATTCTGGTTTGGAGATCCGACCCGATCAGCCCAATGGACACTATCGGGCCACGCAAATACTTCGACAGGCTACTTTGGATCGTGGAATGCACTCTATACTCCCTTGATCATGTGGTGGGTTTACCTTTTAGGACGTCGTAACTACATGGGAATATTAAGCTGGCAGCATATGGAACGTATTGAAATGCAGAAACGGATGCATGCCAGTATCGATGCCGAAATCTCCAAAACAAGTCAGCATGAATTCACCAAGTCTGAGCTACATAGTATTTTCATCAATCGACTAGTTGGAGCAACTGAATCTTGGGTGTATTTTATTTGGTCTTATGTTGCACCAGTTATTGTACCTTTATTGTGGCGTTGTGTGTTAAGACCCAATGTGCCAGAAGTTGATGACTTGTCTGAAAAAACGCCGTGGATATGGACAATGGTTTTATCGGTGATGTGTACGTTTGCGTTGAGGTTGTGGGTGTCATTTTTGAGTTTTCAGATGCAGTGTGTAACCTGGTTCGTTCCGTACGTGTCAGGATTTGTGATTAACAAGTTTGAAAAATCGGTTAGTATTGGTATAATATATTGAGACTTTATGGAATGCAATCTTGAATAAAATATTAAAACACGAATTAGATGGATTGACATAGTCGACTCCTCAAGCCAATTTATTCACAATGCCAAAACAAGGTTATTTAAAGTTTTGAATGTGCTGATTTACGTTGAGCGTATGCACTTTTAAGTAATGCATACAAAGTCTGTATTCTGGGCATTTCCACACCATGCAGCTTGGCAAGATTCAGCGGGTTTCCCAAAATAACCTCCAATTCCAATGGTCTTTTTTCTTCCCAATCAACCAGCATACTGGGTTTAAACCCAACATTCTTTTTCGTATTTTCTAAAATCGAATCGATAGAAGCTAGATGAGATGGAAATGGGCGTCCAAACAGTTTGGGACCAGCTTCAAACACTTCGCGCATGCATTCTCTCGCATGCTCATTGATGGTTGGATCAGGAAGTAAAGATGCGATCCCAACACCTCCACCAAGAATAGAAGTTGGACTAAACGTTGCATTGATTGCCAGTTTATGCCAACGGGTAAGTTGGATTTCAATAGCATCCATCATATACGCCTCGTCCACTCCACCTTGTTTAAACAGATCAACAAGGGTTGTCATGTTGGATGTTGTTTCTGTTTGTAATGCTAAAGGCGGTTGCTGGGTTGGATTATTTTTCGTATAAAATGGACCCATGTAGATGCGTGCCCATCTGCTGTGCACAATCAGTCCTGGTTTGGTCTGAGTGCACGATACCAATGTCACACATGAGATAATGGGTGACTGGGGATACCGATCGCGATACGGCCATTCAATTCCAAACCCGTTTTGAATCAAAACGATCGCTGATATGCCAGTTACCACTGGAGAAATATCGACGGAATCATCTCGCACTTCTGGTAAAGCTTTGGTGGTGACGACGATATAGTCGAATTGGATCCCCGAAGCAGCAGCTTGAGTGCATGAGTTAAACACTCGGTGTGGTTTCCAAACTGAAGAGCCGTATACGGGAGACTCGATTTCAAATCCTTTTTTATTGACGATGTTGTAGTTGGAGCGACAAACGACGGATACCAGGGTTTCTTTCGAGGCCTTGTTTAATGGCTGATGAAGCCTTGCACCATAAAATGCACCTACAGCACCGGCTCCGACTAAAATAAAATAGGATCAATATTTAGTTGTAAATTCTATTCACCTTTGAACATAATCTTTTATTCGTTACCAATAAGAACATGAATTGGCATTTGTCGTTGATGGACGAATTCAAACTAAAATTCAACGCTTAATAGCTAAGCAATCTGAACGACAACGATCACTGATATTGAATTTGCTTTTCCAGCCAACGGATTCAATTGGATTCAATTCTATTATGGCTCAGCCATCTCAATCTAAACCGTCTTCATATGATTCAGAAGAAACGATTTCCTTTCTTCTGACGGCTGCTCAGAAGCTATTCACTTCATCGCCTGCTATTTCCCGACATTTAGTGCAGACATTTGTTGATCACACTGTCTTGCACAATGTACCTGTTGCTGCTGCTCTGCGTCGAAAGCTCTGCACAAGTTGTGGATCGTTTAAAGTTTCAGGTCTTACTTGTCAGACAGCAACAGTATCTGTCAACAAAAAAAAAGCCAAAAAGTCATCAAAACATCGACCATCAACTTTGAAGAGCACTGAAAAGGATCCAGTATTGGTGCAAGCTGTTTCTATAGCAACACAAGCGACACCTCGAACACCAACCACCAAACCCATTCATAAACATACCAACTCGACCCAAAAACCATATCGTATCATTCAGCAGCCTATCAGAAAAATCCCATCTGTTACAGCAAACAATTCACTGCAAAAACTTGCAACCAACGTTTGCACTACATGTCTTGTTTGTGGTTACATTTCATATTTGCCTGGAATTGGATCGAATGAGCTAGCATTGGTGGATACATCTTGTCCAATGGTTTATGTACCAGATTTTAATCTGCCAGAAACTTCCAGTACATCTACTTTTAAATCAGTATCAAAGAAAAACAAACGATTATTGGGATCAACACATCAAGAAAATGATCCGATTGCGACGGATAAGGATAATGTACCAGTATTGAGTTTGTTGGATCAACGCATCTTGAATTCAAAAAAAGTTAAAAAGATCAAGAATTCATTTCATACTCCTATTGTATCGCATTCTACACCACCTTCAGCTGAAAACAAACACGCTAAAGAGTCTGGTGGTGTAGTGTCACAGTCCATCAAGTCTATACTACTGGGACACGCTACATCCAAACCCAACTCCGTAAAGAAAAAAGACAGTTACAAGAACAAGGTTCAATTACTTGTCAAGCAGCAGCAGAAAGCCAAAGCAAGTGCTTCCAAACCTACTTATAGTCTCACTGATTTTCTTTCTGATTTATAAAATTTGACTTGTGTTGGATAGTCTTGGGTATAAGGATTAGATGGTTCGCCAAGAAATAAACTATATTCGAGTTTCAAGATTTAGAAAATACGAAATATATTTCAAAATAGAGCAGTGACGAACACAAGGAGGGGAGATTGGCTTTGAGGGTAGCCAAAAAGTTTAAGCCGATGCAGTATTTGATGTAGTTATACGAGACACACCCCATACTTTCTTATACTCTAAACATATCACTGTGACAGAGGAAGCAACACACAGTATGTGCATTAATGAGATGACCAAAAAAGGAGCGCCAGGTGTCCACGAATCGAAAAGCAATCCGCCGACTTTTGACACAATTAAAATACCAGATGCTCCACAAAAACTAGATATCCCTGAAATACTTCCACGGAGATGAATTGGCATGCTTTTAGCCGATGTCACAAGTGTGAGAGAAACAATAATAAGACCAATCTCGCCAAATCCGATTAAAAAAGCTGTAAAGTAGTTAAGCTTGGATCCCGGCGAAGTAGATAAAAACAATAAAAGGTATCCAGCCATTGCCAAAACAGTTGAAATCAGCATCAATAATGGAGGATACACAATGTCTGTAATAAAACCTAGTGTGATGTTATAAGCAAGGCGCAATAGTTTAGTTGTTATAGATCAATGAAAATTGAGCAAAGTGTATTTGTGGCATACTAGAAATCAACACAACCTACCAAATATAGGAGCACCAACTAGGGCAAATGTCTGAATCACACCAGTAAGAATAGATGAAACAATATACGCTTTAGGGCAACTGACTTCTAAAGTATCTGGAGAATTACCCTCACATTCACCACTCATGACATGGTGTTTATACACCCATAAAGGAATAAATAGTGTTACAGTTATGGTATCACCCCGCGCAAGGAAGCTACCAATCAAGCCAAGGATAAGGCGTGGATCGCGAACAACGGTACGCAAACCATCTCGCGTAAGTGAGTATATTGCTGTAAAATGCCCCATAAGACTGGCATTCGAGATTTTTTGCAAAGTGTTGGGCAATGGCGTTGAACTTTCAGCCAACGAGTTTTCGTGAGTATTGACAGAACAAGTGGATGCAGATGTAGATGGCGTGGGGTTTGCTGAGCGTGCAGGCAATGTCGTCAAGTCTCCCTCTTGCTGCAACTGTTTTTTCATAATTTCTCGTACAAGCTTAGGAGAAGGTAGAGTAAAACCTAGCACCACTGCCAAAACAATGGAAATCGCGGCAATGATCCAGTAAGAGTTTCTAAGACCATTACCAGTATGGCCGATCATCACCGGAATGCGAAGAAATACAAAAAGCCCAATAAGTGCGCCAAGACCAGTAAAAAGTCCAGAAATACCCGCAATCTTGCCTCGATCCTAGATAAAATATATGGTTTACCAATGAATAAAGGTTTTAGTTGAATATAAAACACAACCAAGGCTAACGGATGAAATATCGTACCCTTTCATCAGCAATGTCGGCCAAAACAGCAGAAATCATGGTAGATACTGCAGCACCGCCTATACAGAACAATAGTCTTAAAAGAAGCAACTGAGGGTAAACGTTTTGTGTCAGCGGATATAATATAAACGTAATGCCGATGAGAGTGTAGCCTATGACATATATGGGGCGACGCCCAAATGAATCGGAAAGAACACCCCAAAAGGTGATGACAACCAATGTTCCAATTTGATCGTAGAACACGAGCGAGCCACTTGTATATCCGATGATGTTGTCTGGCACATGCAATATATCTTTGAGAATGAATACCTATATTGTTTAAACGATAGACATACCAACGCGAAAAATACAGTTAGTAAGATTTAATTGGTTTTTGCAATCGTATTCATGTAAAATGAAACACTGATAGGGGTATGTACATAGTAAACACCCAGTTTCATGACCCGATTGTTCAATCTACTGGACAGCATTGTAATGTTCATTCGGTTTTGTCCATCTCATTTTTGTATGCAACAACTGAACAAATCTTCAATTCCAAAATGAACATTACAATATTAGGTGATTGGCATGGAAACAACAGTTGCGTTCCTGATGTGTCCAATTATTGTTCTGTTGAATTAAAGCGCGAATGTATATGCAAGACTAGGATACAGAATACAGAATTCTCTTGAAACCAGTCGAACCCAATATTTGAATTACAACTTGGTGACTGCACAATGCATGACCACGCCAAATGTAAAGAAAAGCAAGTTCAAAACTATAGTGTGTAGTATACGATGTCCATTATAAAGAATGGATCATGCCAATTAAAGAAATAGTCATGCGATTGTACATTGATATGCGATACTAGAATCCACCCAATTAAACAAACCGAATGCGAAAAGTTGAATATTTGAAAATTCTAGTCACTAACCTGAGAAGAATTGATATACACAAAGAATGAGATGGTGAACAAGGATGCCAGTAAGAAGGAGAATAGATGGAAATAAGTAAATCCCTGCTGCAGTCTGAACCACTTTGTGACGGGTTTTGATGATTGAGTGTCGGAGCGACTGGTTTCTAGAGGTGGTTCTGCAGTATTAGCCAAATCAGATGCATTTGCACTTTCATTGATTCTAGTAGTGATTTCTGGTAATGGCGTATTACTCATTTGACAATGAGCGTTACTCGGCTTCCCTTATCAAAATGATTAGAACACAAGACTACCCGAATTAGTTTGTCCTGGTGATGAGAATGCACTAGGGATAGGTCAGGAAGTAAAACCAGTTACGAATGGTAGTGAATGTACTACCCTAGCAATACTATTTAAATGATTGTCTTGGAGTGGATAAGACAGATTCGACCTTGACGACTTGACTTGTTACAAGATTCAGCAGTGGGTTTAATCGGTATATTTTTGATTCATACATCACCATGGTCGATTACTTCATGTTCCTTCCGACTATAAATTCGTGATTGGTCAGCCTATTAACGTTCCGATCCGCAGTACTATCTTTTTCAGTTCCGGCCATCCATTCCAAGCATCTACTCGGTCATTTCAAGAAACTGTTTATTCACAAGATATTACATCTTGACACTTTTGCTTTTTTTCTTCATCTTGGCATCCTTCCTTTTTTGCTCACGCTTACGCTCCTTTTCTTCATACTTGCGCTGTTCCTCTACTGAAAGCTTGTAGATTTGCTCCTCCTTCAACTTTTTATCCTTGATTTTTTTGTCCGCCAGCTCCTATATTATGATTCGCCAGATTAGATATTGCATCAGCCATTTAATGGTGAAATGAATAGTAGATTAACAAGCACTTGCCTCTTTTCGCGCTTCCTCTTGGGATTTTAGAACCACCACTTCAGCTGCTTGACGGAGTTTAGCAATCTTAGATTTGCCCTACAGAAACACATGGTTAATGCCACTAAATGGATTTTCACAAGGACCATTGGAAAGTACATACATCTATACTTAGTAATCCCTTTTGACCAACATAGTCGACTAGATCAAATCCAAGTTGGTTCATCTGACACATGGTGTCAATCATGTCTTTGGTTGGGGGTTGAGCATTAGGAATGCGGTACGTCATATTCAATGTGCGTGGTTGCTTGAGTGCTTCTATCCTAAACACGTTGCATTAAAAAGAGTGAGATGCAACCTAAATCTTGAATCATTGATACAAACCATACGTACGTTTCAGGCTTGACTGTGGGTAGATCGGTAAGAATAATCTGGTCAATCAGAGGTTCTTTGAACAAAGTATCTCCGTTGCCGTTTTCATCAAGACCAATAGATTTAAAAATAGTAGCACGAATAGCTGGATCGTCCCACACAGCTACAGCAAACTCGGGTGCATCTGTCATGATCATATAGTGACTTTTTGGAAACCCAGGAAGATCGCGAACTTTTGGAAAGTTATTCTTTGAATAATATTAAATAATCAGGACTTGAAAGGATGGCTGAATCAACACAAAATGCATCATCTGTATGACTTACAAGATCCCAACGATTGGCTTTGATCGAGTCTCCAGTAGCTTTTGGAAGAATTGCAAATGTGAATGGATCAGCGACTTTGTCATTGAAAGTAAAAGTAAGAGTCTATTTAAATATCGGTTAGCAGCAAGAATCAATTGATTTGCTTAGACTTGAATGGGCAGTACATACCACTTTGTCGTACTGATCATTTCCTAGGTAATAGTCTATAAGCCATTGAACAAGATCGTGGCGAGCAACTAGATGAACATATCCATATACATGTTTGACAAAAGTACGGCCCGAAGCGTAAAAGATAAAATCGCGAGGTCCGTCCATAATAAGCTTATGTCCATCATTAGATCCAATATGGGAAAACTGCATTTGCCACAATTCAAATGTTCCTTTCATCCTATAACATTGTATAGGTTGAGAATAATTAGTATGATGTATTGATGTTGAAAAAAGCAAATATATGAAGTGGCCAGCATACCATCCACGAGCGATTTCTCGGTTAGCACGTTTACCGATCAAATAAAATGAAGCATACAAAGTAGCAATCAAAATCATGAGCAGTTCAAACCAAAAATCCATTAAAGTAATGTTATCCAAGCTCATTAATGGACGAGGTTTGTTGACCACATTTTCTGCCGAACCACTTTGATCTGAATTCAGGGTAGAAGAGAACTGGTCGCTAAACAGTGTTTGTTGAGTATCGTCTTCAAGCTCTTGATCTGTACATGCAAGGTTTTTAAAAAGTATTTAGTATCTGTAAATGGTATAAACGACCATGTTTAATCATTATGAGCAAGGAATAAGTACAATTGAAATCGTCAAGATTGGTGGCAGTAACGTATCCAGTCAAAGCGAAAAATACAAAAAGAGTAAAACCAAGTTTGGCAGCTTGACCAAGTGGTTTTAGCATAGCCATGGTGTCAGATCCAACAGAAGAATGCATTGATCCTTTGATTAGGTAACTGCACAAGTGTTGGATTGCAAAGTGCGGACTGAATGATCACGTGGTTATGGTTCACTTTTGAATTTGCAGATCTAAACTCGACTTGCTTCCAACCCACTAATCCAGTGTTGCAACATGGCCAAGAAACAAGTGTCCAAGTCTACATCAGAAGTGGTCGAGTCTTCTGGGACTACCCGCACCACCACTCGTACTACAACCACAACCACCACCACAACCACGCCCAAACTGACCACAAGCAACACTGACACAACCCTCTCTTCGATCTTGACTACTTTTGAGGAATCTTACTTTTCAAGTACCCCGCAATCCATTGTGCTGATTGATGTCTACTTGGCATTTGTGATGCTGACTGGCATCATTCAGTTTTTGTATGTGGTGCTTGCTGGCACTTATCCTTACAATTCATTTTTGGCTGGATTTATTTGCTCAGTTGGATCGTTTGTACTTGCAGGTAAGTATTGGCATGTCTAGCTGGAAAAGGATTTGATTTTAATGTGTTTTTAGTTAATTTGAGAATTCAAGCTCATCCTGCCAACAGGAGTACGGTTTCCATGTCTCCAGAGCGGTAAGAAATGAGTTGGTCAAGGATGTTGTCGAGGCTTGATTGACTAACATGTTCAACTCAGAGCGTTTGCTGATTTTGCATTTTCGTCGGTGCTGCTGTTTGGATTCTGCATCAACTTTGTTGGCTAATTTGATTTCAGACTAAAGCCCAATACTGTTTATTTACAATCGATTTTATTAAATATACATATTTGAACGAGGAATGGGTGTGCAGTGCAGATTGGACAAGAAAAGAATTGCCTTCATTCTGTAAAAGATTTTTATTTCCTTTGCCTGATGATGTGTGGCAAAAGAAACAAATGAGTAATTAGAGCTTGTTAAATGCAACCGTGTCGACAGACTGGCAGTAGTCCTCAAGAGCCATGATATTGTCATTCAGATCGTCTGTGCCAACCTTGTCGTCTTCGACGACACATGTGATCTGAAGCTTCTTGATTCCGTAACCAATGGGAACAAGCTTAGAGCCACCCCATAAGAGACCATCCATGGTAATGGCACGAACACCTTCCTCCAGCTTGGCAAGATCAGTCTCGTCATCCCAGGGCTTGACGTCAAGAATGATCATGGACTTTGCTGCCACCTTGGGCTCTAGAAACAGTGCAGAGTATTAGAATACAAAAACAACAGTAGCCAACAATAGGAGTATATTCTGCAAGTGCGACAGATCAGATGCAAATAAATAAGGTAGCGTGCGGTTTTTTCATCTTAAACGGAACGTTTACAGCCAAATGCCGGTATCATCATATCTAGAAGCACATTGCATACTCGTAAAACGACAAACACTTACTGGCAGCCTTCTTGGCATGGTACTCGGCAAGACGAGCAGCCTTGACCTTTTCTGCCTCTGCGTCCTCCTCTTCATCATCAGAACCAAAGAGATCAATGTCATCTTCATCTTCTTCTACTACAGCAGGACCATAGGAGTCAGCAGATTTCTTGGTGCCTGGGAAGCTGTAAGTGATTAGACAAAGTAAGTTGCATGAAAAGAAAAGATACAGTCAAAAAAAAAAGAAAAAACCTTGATCTGGACTTGGCATCAAAATGGGCAATGTGCTTGTACCAACGAGAGGCATATGGGTAGGTAGCAGCGACGGGAGCCTTTTTGACAGCGTCAAAGACGGCAACATCAGCCTGGGATGCAGTGTATCTATTGGAAACAATAAATGGTTAGACCAGAACAATCATAAAAAACAGATGATGTATTGCTCAGAGTTGCCGAGGCAATTGTGGTTTCGTCGTTATGGGGGTCTTAATCCCATCAGTAACACGGACCAATATTTCCTCATCACTGCAGTACAGAACAAAAAAGAAGACAAAAGAAGAGCACAGAAATAGATTGCAAAATGCTGGGGTTAAGCCAACACCATGACAGCGACATATTCATAAACAAAACTGCTCATTCAAAGAGTGATTCATTCTAAATGAATACGGCTGCAAGTGCAATATGGATCTGAATCAGCCATGGTTGAACCAAGACATGAAAACAGTACAGATCAAACAGAACAGATCAATGTAGAATGCAACAGGACTCAACTGGATATACAATGCATCAACAGGAATAACAACATCAATAGCTTACCCCTCAATGTAAGACTTGTCCTCAAGGAAGGTATTGAGCACCTTCAAGCCAGCATCCTTTTCAAGATCAGTGAAGCCCATTGCAAGAATATAAAGTTGTGAAGTCGACAAGAAAGAAAACCAACGCAGCCAATCATTTGTTTTGATTAAGAAGTGTCCTCAGGTTAAATGTCCTTATAAACGCAGCCTCGCTGTTTTTTTCCTGTCCATTAATTGTTCTTGTAAGTTATTTTATGTGCAGCGTTCTTTCCTGAAGATGAGATTTATACATAGGGACATCATATTTAACAATGATGATTTATGTGGGTGAACAATCACTGATGGGAGTCCAAAAGAACCATTGCAGACCACTCTTGAATATAAAAGTTTGTCATTTGATTGCTAACTCTTGCTGATCAACTAGGTTGGATCCGTATTGCTTGTTTTATGAATAAATACTGTTTTTTAGAATCTACATTTGTCTTGTGTTTTTTAGAGTCTCAGTTTTGGTGGGAAAACTTTGAAAATCATTAAAGTTTGCATTCACTGGTGGAAATGCCAACAAATTAAAAGTGTTTTTTGGAATTGATTTTAACAGTTTATCAGCAGTAAACTTCTAATAGTGTTATTGTCTTGAATATGGTGCGTATCTTGTCATCATCAAGTGTACTAATGAATACATTGTTTTATATAACATCAACTGCATTCAACTCATCTTATTAATGGTTTAAACATTAGCCTCTCAGACTCGATATCAAGGTAAACACTAGCAGAATAAAGATTCATTCTATTCATTCCATCCATTCCATTGACAATTAATCAAATATACAATCCTCTTATTAAAGAGAAAACTATCCAATCGCTCAGACCGAGTCAAGGCCGTGGATTATCACCCAACTGAACCTTGGCTTCTGGTTGCGCTTTACAATGGCTCTGTTCATATTTGGAACTATGAAACACAGGCAAGTCATTCATCTGCTCATGTTTGTGGTCTTGTCTAATACTATCATTACTATTCAACATGGTTTAGGCTCTTGTCAAGACATTCGAAGTGTCTGAACTCCCAGGTAATGCTGTCTTGTTGAATTCCTCTAGATCTTGTCTTGTTGAATTCTACTAGATTCTGTCTTGCATAACCACTCTTTGATTTCAAAATGACTTATGTTTTCAATCCAATTGTTAAACTATAGTTCGTACCGCCAAGTTTATTGCTAGGAAATCATGGATTGTTACTGGTTCTGACGATATGCAAATTCGAGTATTCAACTACAACACCCATGAACGAGTCATCTCGTTTGATGCACACGCTGATTATATTCGCACTATTGCTGTGCATCACACTTTACCATATCTCATATCTGCTTCAGATGACTATTTTATCAAACTTTGGGATTGGGAAAAAGGCTGGCGCAACATTATGGTATATTAACAATTGGAGTTTAATCCTTTGTTGCTACTACAAATCTATAAGTCTTGTTTTACATCACTCATGTATACCAATTCTTTATTATAGACCTTTGAGGGACATACACATTTTATTATGCATGTGGCATTCAATCCCAAAGATAGCAACACTTTTGCTAGTGCTTCCATGGATCGCACAATAAAGATATGGTCGCTTGGATCTCGCGTTCCAAATTATACATTGGACGGGCACAAGAGCGGTGTCAATTGTCTTGACTACTATCATGGAAGTGACAAACCATATCTTGTCTCTGGAGCCGATGACAAGTACAGTATAATTTGCATGGATTTATTGTGAACGTCTAGTTTGTAGATCTAATTTACATTTGAATACAATCCAAATCGATATTTAATCCTGGTATCAACATGATCAAACAGAACTGTCAAAATTTGGGACTATCAGAACAAGTCTTGCGTGCAGACCCTTGATGGACATACCAACAATGTTTCTATCGTGTGTTTCCACCCCGAACTTCCTATTATTGTCAGTGGTAGTGAAGACGGTAAGTGCATGGGTTTCAATAGCATACTGAATAGTTGGATCAAACTGTGTTAAGAAATATTTACTTGTTGCTGACATTTAATTGACATCTCCATTCAAATAGGCACTGTGCGTATCTGGCATGCAAACACGTATCGTTTAGAAAACACTCTCAACTACGGCATGGAGCGTGTATGGGCAGTTGCCTACCTCAAGGGCAGTAACGATCTTGCATTTGGTTACGATGAAGGCACAATTGCCATTAAGCTGGGTCGTGAAGAACCAGCTGTTAGTATGGATGCCAGTGGAAAAATCATTTGGGCTCGCCATTCTGAGATTCAGACCTCCAATATCAAGGCATCTGGCGAAGAGGTTCATCTTGAAGATGGCGAGCAGGTGATTCTTCCTGTCAAGGATCTTGGTAGCTGTGAAATTTACCCACAGACACTTCAGCATAGTCCGAATGGCCGGTATGTATTTCGAACCTGTTGTGCACTGTCTTGATCTTTAGCTTTTACATGTGCTTTGGAAACACATGGCAGACACTAATGTATTACTCTACACCTGAAATATCATGACAATACACTTAGATTTGTGGTTGTGTGCGGTGATGGTGAATATATCATATATACGGCTCTTGCATGGCGCAATAAAAGCTTTGGACAGGCACTCGAGTTTGTATGGGCCATGGATTCCAATGAATATGCTATTCGCGAGTCATCATCTAGCGTCAGACTATTCAAATCATTCAAGGAAAAACCCGTAAGCATCCGACCCAGTTATGGAGCTGAAGCTATTTTTGGCGGTGCATTATTGGGTGTGCGTAGTAGCTCGTTTTTAATCTTTTATGACTGGGAAACTGCACTTCCAGTCCGTCGTGTGGACGCTGCTGTCCGTAATGTGCTTTGGTCAGAGTCTGATCTTGTAGCCATTGCCAGTGAAGAGTCGTTTTATGTTCTCAGATTTAACCGATCTGCCTATCAAGCCCACATTGAAAGCGGCGCTCAGGTTCAAGAGGATGGATTTGAAGCTGCCTTTGAATTCGTTACTGAGATTTCCGAGAGTGTTCGGACTGGCTGCTGGGTCGGTGATTGTTTCATCTACACCAACGTAGCAAACCGACTCAACTATGTTGTTGGAGGACAAGTGGCTACACTGTCACATTTTGATAACAACATGTACCTCCTCGGTTATATTCCTCGTGACAACCGCATCTATATTTGCGACAAGAACCTTGCTGTCATGAGCTATTCATTGCCACTTTCGTTGATTGAATATCAAACTGCGGTGATCAGAAACGACATGGAGCATGCTGCTCGTGTGCTACCATCAGTTCCTGTTGACCAGCACAATCGTATTGCTCGCTTCCTTGAAGGTCGTGGGCTTAAAGAAGAGGCCCTTCACGTTTCGACCGATACGGAGCACAAATTTGAATTGGCAGTCCAACTTGGACACCTTGATATTGCGTACGAGATTGCCAAGACAGCCGCGCATGATCAAAAGTGGAAAACCATTGGCGATGCTGCGCTTTCTGCATGGAAAGTAAGTATATCTAGTGAAAACTTAGTGCACTGGATTGAACATCACATTTAACATTTACTGTATATGTCAAATTTAATTTATGGGAAATCCATCATGCTTGCTAGTTTGGACTGGCAGAAGAATGCTTGCATCGTGCTCGGGATTTTGAAGGTTTATTAATGATTTATCAGACATCTGGTAATGCAACAGGATTGGCAGAGTTGGCCACCATGGCGGGTAAGTGTGTCGAGTATCAGATCAATATATATCTTTTGTTGGGTCATTGAATGTGGACAATAACTGCTGTACTGTCGTCGAAACTAACACTGTTGTGTGATTGTTTTCATATTGAATTGGAATACTCAGTTGAAGCTGGATCCAACAATATTGCATTCGTATGCTTTCTTTTGCTTGGTCAGACCGAGCAATGTGTTGATCTTTTGATCCATACTGGTCGTATTCCTGAAGCAGCATTATTTGCTCGCACCTATGCACCTAGCCAGATCAATCGTGTTGTTGCGTTGTGGAAAGCATCTTTGGAAAGTCAGGGTAAACACAAGTCGGCTGAAGCACTTGCCGAACCCACTCGCTATCCAAATCTCTTTTCTGATTTTGAATATGGCTTGACTGCGGAAATGGGTTTTAAGCGTCGTCGTGATCGTGGACTTGTTTCGGCTGGAGAGTATGTTGAATGGAAGGATTCGCTGGACTGGGATGTGATTGGCCGTAAGTTGAATAGTTTGTTTTTATTGCCACACTGCAGTTCTATCTAACATTAATTTAAATATGTATTTACAATGGGTTGTTTTGAATTTAGAAATCAAAGAGCGATATCCCAATGGAATTCCGCCAGAATTGAGTCAGCAGCAGCCATCAGCTTTAACATCTCCTGATGGACTTGGTTCGCAGAGTGCACAGAGCATGCGAAGCAATACCAGTCTAAATGATCCCTATGCATCTACTTCCACTTTAGCCAAATCTGATGTAAATGGTAGCCAAGCTGCGCTTATATCACCTGTTCGTTCTGCATCACCAGCTCGTCGTACGCCATCGCCGAATCGGATGATCTCGCCCATTCGCGCTGCACAAACATCTCCTGCTTCAGTGTCTAATGCTGCCTCTTTTTCACAGCCAAGTGTCATGCAACCTCAGCAACACAGTCAATCTGGTTCTTTTGTTTCGAATCAATCAAAGACATCGAATGTGTCGTTTGAGGTAAATGAATGGATATGGACTGTGTATCTTGCATTGGGTTACTAATCTATTTCTATTTTATGTCTTTTTTATTGCATGGTTCAATAGGCATCACATCCACCTCACCCAACACTGCTGGGTAAAACACATCTCACCGGTATTGCTACTGACGATAGACCTGATGGTCTTTCCGACAGCCTGAGTCACCTTAGTCTAGATGTCAACACCACTGGCACAGGATCACTTCGTGGTGACATGGATTTTGAAGATTTTAGTTCAATTGGAAACAGTACAACAGCCAATGATGATCTGGCTGCATTGAACGATGATGAAATTGATGCGTTATTGATGTGAATATCCTTTATTGATGATGACTTAATACATTGGTTTTATTGTTTTCAATGTTTCAGTGTATTTAATTTAATTTATACTCGGTTTAGAATCAAAACTGTTGATGTGCTTGCTTGTCAACGTAATAAGCCTAAAACAACACATCAACTCCATACCATGTTTGAATGATTTCAAATAATGTCTAACCCATCACAACGATGTCTAATTAGTCTTGCCGCCGTATTTACATATCACAAATAAACTAGCGTAGGTATATTTTATTCAAAACTTGACACTGTATCTTAAAGCCGTCTTCACGTAAAATGAAACACTAAAATACGTGATAAACAGTCATGTTTGATTGGTTTAATCTTACTCGACAACATTGTTTTATGAACTCGTTGGTTCACTCATCGTTGTGCTTATTCTTGTACAAATATAATGAGAATGTTCACATTTTTGTTACAATACATTCCATATTCTTGACATCTTTTCAATTTCCAACCTTCCTTTCCTCCAAACCAAACACTCGGTAATCATCATGGAAACAACAGTTGCATTCCCAAGATATGTTGAACTAAAGCGCAAACGTATCTGATATTAGAATAGTATTTCAATAAAACAAGTAATCAATATCCAATAGCAACGAGTATGTAACGATTGTTTATTTCAGAGCAAAATAATCGGTCCAAGATCAATACAAAAGTGTTTCATTTTACGTGAATACGGCTGTAATGTTCATAGATGTACTCGCAAGATAATTATACAATAGATTGAGAATTTTCAGATAGCCATCCCCAGTCCTGTATCGATGGATCGTAAGTGGGGCGATTTGTACCCGGCAGTGGGGGTTGTGAGTTCACTCCACTCGGATTCTATATATAAAGTTGAATCATTATCAACATGCCAATGGTTTGTTAGATTTGCAAAGTGCTTACCTGTATATGTCCTTCCGTACCTAATAAATTAGCTTGGGTTTGCTTTGGATTCATTAGAGCAGCGCTTTGAGTCGAATGTATAGTGTTTGCTTGGGAATCAAAATGGTCTACTGACATTTTTTGACTGGATTCAGTTTCCGCTGCGGAGGATCCTCGTCGAAAGGTTTTGGTAGGAACAGGTGTTGGAGCTCCAGAGACTGGTGCAGATAGTTTACCATTATCGAACTTTGTTTTTGGCCCTCTTTTTGAAGTTGAAACCTCAAACTAATAGAAATACATGCCATTTTAGCAATAGTAAATAGCTTAAATTAAACCAAACCTATATAGTTACTTTTTGGAATTTGTACATTTTGCACAAATTTGCATTGGGGAGATCTTGAATCAGTTTTTGGATGGTTGGCTGAGAATATCCAAACATATCTGGTCCCGACACTGTATTACTGTGATCCTTATTTCGTATTGTGATCGCGGCTAAAAGTATACAAAAGCGTATAAGTAACCACTTGACACTATATTTAGTTTAGTCATTTCAAGAGCAATCCATGTAAGCACCTTTAATAACAGTCATCCAAGCACCAGTGGCAGATGCACCAATAATGATATTATTTGGCGCATCATCAGGAGTGACTTGAAATTTGGGACAGTCACCATTATCGATAATCTGACATATATATCGCACAGATTTGTCTGAATCGATCATGCTATAGTATTCACTATAGTAAATCCATGCTTTAGTAACTACACAGCATCACAGGATATATGGAACAAAATAAAACATACCGAGAGGTTGTAAATCCAACAGGAAAAATATGTCGCTCGGTATGAAATCCAGATCGATTCCATACAATTTCTCCAAGCGAGTGCAGCGTGATCATACCAAACTGGGCTGGTAGGACAGGAGTTCCATCTTCGTGAACAGCAACTTCTTGTATTTTGCGTACTCGTGCAGTCACATCGTTTCGCTTTCGTTTTTTCTTGGCCTCATCCGACCCTTGTACAACGTGTGTTTCTGAAGGTGTTGCGCATTGACCATCGGACATTACTGAAGTGTTTCCTGGCGTACATTCATAGTTGAATGAAGGTGTATGTGATGCATCCGATGCCATTCCAAAACCGGTGATTTTGGTTTGAATTGGTGTTTGAATCAAGGCACCATTCTGCGCTGGTATTGCTACGTGCTCTGATTTTGAAATGGATCTTTGTCGTTTCAACGATCCATCTCTTAGTGGATCGGGTTTGGCATGAACTGGAATGGTTTGTAGCGGAGCATGATCTGGATATAGAATAGGTTAACACCTGAAAATATGACCAACAAGCTAAAATCATACAGTTGACCAAAATATTGACCTGAGTCGTCGGATAATGTCGATAAAGAAGTATCTGACAATGAATCCGACAGTCGAGGTTGTTTCTGACCGTTTGCAGTGTTGGCTTTTTCATTCTTGGAAATGGCTTCGAGTAGTATACTAATACAAACAGTATGAGATTAGATGCAACACTAGGAATCGCGAGCAGACATGACGACTCAACTCCTTCTCCTTTTTAAGCATGGCATTATCATGCTTTATTCGCTTCAATTTGGTAGTCAGCCGGTCGTTTTCCTGCATGTGAAAATGACAAGGTTCAGTTCATACGCAGCTCAAAAAGCGACTGCAGACCAACTGAACAAATTACCTCGATGACCTCCTTAAGCTATTGAAATGGTAGTTGAAAACATTCGATATTGAATGAGGTTGTAGTAGGGTAGAAAAGGACAATATTGTATGAAATTAGTATTGTCAAGCCATGAAGCAATACAGCTTAAATGCCGCTCCAGTATATTGAATATGAAGCTGGATAGCAATTGCATGCCAAAAGCCATGTCTAATTGATAGAGAATACAGACTGTTCATTTGTAGTGGTTTGACGTACTCTTCTTTTAAGTTTCTTATACTTGTCGTCCTTGTCCATTTTATCACAAGAGTTGCTGATAGTTGGAGAAAGCCTGATGGATCTTCAACAACAAATCTTGAATCACCTGGACTTGGCTGTTTGTCACTTGGCAATCATCCCATCATATTCGATTAAATCTTCAAATGGATTCATACTGGCATTCTACTCGATAATATTCATGATTAATCTTGTTGCATGTGTCATATTCCGTGAATTATTGTAGAGTCGACTCTTGATCATTTTATGTTCTGTATTAGTTGTTATCTAGTTAATCTACACGTATATGGATCAACAGGCATGAATCAAATCATTAGAATATTACAATATTACGAATCAAATCATTAGAATATTACAATATTACGAATCAAATCATTAGAATATTACAATACTATGGATTTGTGATGAATCAATCCATGAATCTATATCCTTAATATGCGTGCCAATTCCATCATCCGTTTATTAGCCAGTTGGCACGCATTGCAATCTTGACATCAAACTAATCTTTTTTTGGGGTTAATAGACTGGTGTGGGCTATGGGAAAGCAGGATACTGGGAGAATGCATTTTGGAAAAGTCATTCATACATACAGAGATGACTTGCTAAGAAGATTATCTCAAAATAGTATAATGAATGGTTCAAAGGCTGCACTATCAATAGCAAACGTTCCATGGTAAAAACTGATTCATGTCCAATTTACAAACGGACATTCACGTCCTTCAATTCCTGGACATGTCTGATGGTATGAACGGATTGACTTATACTCTGCTGTTTTGTAAATGCTTTATGCAATGTACTCAAATCGTAGGTCTTGGATTGCTTGCAAGCTTTTGGATTTGTTGTTTCAGTATCCTGGTGGTCTTACCCAAGTGATCATGCAGTCCGAACTTGAAAAACAGGTCTTTTATATCTTTCAGAATACGTTGTGATTTAGCATGGCTATAGTACTGATTCCAGTTTTATTTTTGATTGATTTACGCAGTGGTCAGCTGAAAGTGCTCGTTGTGGATTGAGCCATACAAAACGTAAACACGATAGTCTAATGTTGATATACAGATTGTTGATTCTGCTCGAGTCCTTTCAACTGCATGGCTAACGCATTATATTACTCTGCAGAATACATTAGCATATCTCTACTGAGAGATTCAAAACCTGCGAGTGAATTCATGGCTTTTGAATGCACCTTGGCAGAATGGTCGATGGACAATGAAACAGATATCCTTTTTTTACTTTAAATTGGCATCTTTTTATGCTACATCTCATCTATAGCATTCATACAAGGCTGGCTCTTAGCTACAATTTATGTTTATTTGTGATTACCCCTGTTTAAATTTTTTGTTCCAGATAGCACAATGTTAATGCTCATGTATCTGCACCATCGGTATTATTTCTTTATGGATCCAATCTACTCATGTTTTTTGAAAGAGGTACGTAGATTTTACAATTTTTCATGTATCGAGTCAATTGGCGGTAATCTTTACACTGGACGCTGTTTTATTATTTCTAGAGAGTATTTCGTATTACAAACACCAGATCTATTGTCAAACGAACGTCCCTGACCAAAAAAGATCATCTGCATCCACATTGCTTGTTGCCAACCGAATACATGGTGCCAATCCTTTCGGCTGAAAATGAAATGGATGCGCAATTTTTGAAACAACAATTTCCTGATCTATTCGAGGACACAACACTAGATAATATCCAGTCGGGAGTAGAATATAGTTTTTTTGGAAAGGTTGCTTTTCTACAAACGATTGTGCTTTCAGACATTGCAATTATACAGTTTGAGTAATTTAACCTTGAATGAATAGATTGTTAGCATTGACGCCCCTGAACCAACCACTATTGCTGGTCGTCAAACCAAACAAGTCATAACAATCAGTGATGCCATGCATTATCGAGGACGACTCATACTTTGGGATAATCAAACAGTGTTGACATCTTTGATGCGCAAGGTAATACTCTCCTGTGCGCGTTACACTATTTTACTGTCAATATCATACGCTAATCCAATTGTTTATCCAGAATGACTCGATTGCCATTAGAATGCCGTACTTGTCATTTGAAGCTGTTGCTGAAACGGGAGTTTTGCAAATGGAATATGGATCAGCCACTTGCATATTTTTGATTCCTGCTGATGTGACCAAGGTTAGCAGTTTGATCGTATACAGATCTGAGCGTGTCAACTTACATGTTGTGAATTGTGGTTGTTAGGAAGTCGAGGCCATGACATCACTTGCTACCCAGGCACATTCCAACTCTGCGATTTGGGCCGATATGCCTCGTGACGAAAATGTATATATTGAGATGTGAATATCTGACTATGACGCTTTTATAAATATCTTGGAATTGTTTGCTTACAGCTTCAAGTATATCATTTTCTTGCCAATCTTGAATTATTAGGGAATGACTGATTTGGAATGGTATCCTGAACCTTTGGATTTCTCTAATCTGCCTGCTGAAGCATACAACATCACCCTTTTAGGAACAATTGTTTTTATCCTTGATAATGTACGTCAAATATTTTTATTCTTGCTTTTGGATGTTAGATATATCATCATCTGATTTAAAACTGGAAATTTAGGATACGGAGATTGCAAGCAGTCGTGCACAGACACGCCATGGTGTACGGATCAAAAACAAAACAGGTAGCCATCTATTTTTGACTTTTGGATACTCTCACCTTTTTAATTTGATTTTAAATATTGATTGCCAATGGGATCAATATGGATACTAGGAATATGTGATGTTACTTTATGGTCAGAATGTGCAACTGCAGCAAGTAAACTCGAGGTTGGACACGTTGTGCTTTTTGAGCGGCTTGCCACATATAGAAATGAAACTGGCCATCTTTTTGTCATTGGCTCACCAGAACACAATTCGCAGATTCGTAATGGTAAGCACTGTTGAATCTGCGTTTTTGATCTTGGTTTGCATAGGCATGTTTAATGTCCCATAGATAACCAGTATACTTTTGATTCTGTAGTGAGCAAATGCTTTGGAATACTAAGCTCTCCTGCCATCTCATCACAATCTTCGATTCAGCAGATAAGTCAGGCTACACACGGTCTTTTTTACTGTTTTGCTGTTATTTCTGGTTGGCCATGCTCGCAATCTTTTGAAAGCACTAGTCTTGTCCGTAAGTGGAATTTTGTTTAGTTTCAGAAACTGTTTTTCTGTCCATGCTGTTACAAACTCAAACTGAACCCTCTTGGCTTCATGCCTGTTCATTTTACATTGACATGTGCAGATACATCGTGTCGAAAACCAGTCATGGAATTGGACGATATGCCGTTTTGTTCAAGATGTTCCAACTATGTTGATTCGACAGAATACGCATTTAATATGACCATTCGCCTAGATGACGGAACTGGGTCATTGACTTGTCTATTGTTGGATGCCACGGCCACCAAAGTGCTGCAATCTCGCACGACGGTTCTTCATTTTGCCGCGCTCTCTCCTGATATGCGTACCGATATATTGAGCGATATTGTTGGCACACACGTCTTATGTGCTATTACTGTATACACCCAGGTAAAAATAGTACTCGACTTTGATGAATTGTGTTGCTAGTAGTAACGTGCCAACATATTTTTCATGATACAATGCCGAATAATATAGGCAAATCAAGTTTACTTTCGAGTGGATGAGATTGATATCAAGCCAAATATCATGTGGCAGATCAAGCATCTCTCTAACCAGATCCAACACCTACCTAGTCCATAATGTCTGGCTTTACCATATAAGAGTTTTGAATACATTATTCAATTATATCAACACTTGAACGATAACTTTATATTATGCAATGACTATTATTTGGCTGTGATGGCATAGTACCAGGTTGAAATCATATCTAGAAACATCAATCTATTTACAACCATCACAATGAAGCTTATTACTGAATATTAACCATCAGTTAACCTATCCCTCACGCCACTGGTTCGCACACTTGCAGCACTATGCATATTTGATAAAATTAAACTGTCACGAATCTATCATGGAGCATTGAACAGCTGGATCATGATTCAAACTAGCGTCTTACCCTAAAAAAGATAGACATGGGCTCATCAGCCGATCGAATCTGGATTTGCATGAAAAAAGCACGACTGTGTTCACATTTGGGACATGTTGCTATAGGACCATGACAAAGACTTGAATTAGGTTCGTATTCAACATGACCACATGCATTCAATATAGAAAATTCATTTCATTACCATCCGTTTGATCGACATTTTCCCAGCTTCCCTCTCCACCAAAAACATCGTCGACATCCTTTCTAGTAAAAACGAGTCTTTTATTCAATGACTAAGAGCATTGACCAGTTGACCAGTTATTGCAAAGACAATTAGTCGGGATCGCTTGGTGAATGAAACAAACTGGAAATACCTTTTCAACTCTACAGATATATGGACAGGACTGACAGAATAATTCGTTGCCTTCATTTCCTGCTTGAATCAACAGCAGATTAGCACACTGCGGACAGAAATACATGATTCAAACAGCAAGTTGAATGCAAAAATATTCAGCAAATTGAGCATCACGCCAATCCACCTGAGGACGCTCGATGAGATCCGCTGGCTTGTCATCAGCCTGAACCTGCTTTAAATTGTATTGATAGTTGCTGGCAAGATTGAATATGAAGGACTACCAGCGCAAGTTTATTGAGTTTGCTATCAAAAATGAAGCACTCAAGTTTGGTTCATTCACTCTTAAATCCGGTCGCACTTCTCCCTACTTTTTCAATTCTGGTCTGTTTGCTAAAGGTGAAGCATTGGCCCAGCTTGGAGGGTTCTATGCTGATGCACTACAGGATTCTGCTATCAAGTACGATGTTCTTTTTGGACCAGCTTACAAGGGGATTCCCCTTGTGTCTGCCGTAGCTATTGCTCTTTCAAACAGATATGGCGTGAATGCTTCTTATAGCTTCAATCGCAAAGAAAAAAAAGATCATGGCGAAGGCGGTAGTATTGTTGGATCGAAGCTTGTTGGTGATGTTGTGATTGTAGACGATGTAATCACTGCTGGAACTGCTATTCGTGAAAGTTTCCAAATCATTACGGCAGAAGGTGCGCAACCTCGAGGCGTACTGATCTCGTTGGATCGTCAAGAAAAGGGTGCGAATACTGACAAGTCTGCCATTCAGCAGGTGGAAGATGACTATGGAGTTCCTGTCTTGTCAATCGTCACTCTATCACATGTTATTGAATATCTTGCTGAAGTTGGTGGGTATGAGTCTCAGCTTGCCAGCGTCACTGCATACCGCACTCAATGGGGAATTTAAATTCGAATCATGACATGTGAGCTGCACTACTCGATACATTTAGATTCAAGTGTCCACCTTGTAATAAAAAACTAAAATTCTAAAGCCAAGTCAGAAATACCAGGCAGTTTATAATCATTTTTATTATACCACCAAACGGGACCGATTAAGAATCTTTCCAAGCTGTTCAAACTTGACATCCTCCTGCATAACAATCTCTTTAGCCTGATTCCATGAAGTAATGGGCAGATCAATCAACGAATCATCATCGGCATTGACAGACCACGACTCACGCATCTTGACCCAATCTGCCAAATCCTCGTCTGACAAATCCAACATCTTCTCCAGACTCTCAATCGAAATGGTTTGGTAAGTAATACTCAGTGTTTGTGCAATAAACTCGCGAATATTGTCGTCAAACAGTGAATAGTCGCCAGTGAATTCTCTAACAGATTCTTCGCTTTCCAAATATGCCCAGAACTCGGAAAACTGAGCCTGTCCAAGCAACTCGTGCATGTGGACCAAGTGTGCAATCAGTGGATCTGCAAGCCATTCCTCACGCAAAAGGTACATGCAGAGTGTAAAATCGGATTCAGGAAGTGCACTGAGTGCGAGTGCTAGGACAGATGCAATCACATAGACGTTGGCATCGGCGTGATTGAGCTGGTATAGCTTCAAAAGTGCAAGACAAGCTGTGCGGTCATAGTTGTTGGTTTTGAGCTGCGATGATATATACTCTTCCAGTATGGCCATGTTCTGAGGATTATATCTGTCCACCGTCTCGACAACCAAATGGATCTAACATGTTGCAATGCATTCTGATTAGAAATGTGTTGTAATAAATAATTCCAATCAGACTCCTCATTATGAATGACCAGCAATCAGAGCACCGTTGTAACATCGAGTAGAAAAGGAATTGAACAAGTATACACTTGCACAGTGACAAAGGGTCTTGAACAGCTCGTTATCACGCAAGTCGAGTCAATAGTACATGTAGAAAGCACACACCATACCTCTTCAGGTCTGTAGCTTGGTCGAAGAGTAGAGAACTTGTTTATAGTGGTCTCCTCACCCGTAAGGCCATCCACATCAGTATTGGACGATGGCATTTTGTTTTTTTTGTTGGTGAAAATGAAAGAAATTCAAGAGCTGATAATTGAGGTTTGGATTTCCATGGCAGTCTAGACATTCGTTACCATGAATCAGCATCAAGCGTCCAACACTCGATTGTTGAATAAATTCATGGATTTACTGTGTTGGTAAATCTGATTGCATGTTTGGAGCATTCATGACTGTAGCAATAATAACACCAAAAGATTCAAAACTCACCAAGGATTCTTTCTTTAACAAGTCGGATCTTGATCAGTTATCGATCGAAATAATAGTCAATTTGGACTTACCAAAAGTACGCTTTTCATTATTAAATCAATCTTGTAGGAAAAAGCAGATTGGTTTGACGCAACGCTTGAACCAGATTCAGCGAGCTATTGAGCATCGTTGGATTTGGATTTGGATTTGCACGACAGATTCAAAACATGGAATCAAAATTGTTTATTTCAAATGCTGTTTAAACTGAAAGTAACACACAATCATTGTTCAGGCGATCGATCACCAAGTATAATAATAGTATCGTTACTGGCATTCAACTCCGCTTTGGCTGTTTCTCCATCATGGATAGTGTCTTCCAATATGGCTTGTGCAAGAGGATTCAGAATACACTTTTGTAGCAACCTATTTAATGGTCGAGCACCATATGTCGGATCGTACCCATTTTCAGTCAACCACGATTGAACATCATCGGATACAATCAGTTTAATATTGTGCTGTTCTTCAACTCGTTTGCAAATCTCAGCCACTCGAACTTGCACAATATCTGCTAGAGCAGTCTTGGAAAGCCGGTTAAAAAGAATAAGTTCATCGATGCGATTGATGAACTCGGGTGCAAAATGGCTACGAACGGATTCTAGAACACGAGCCTCAGTTTCAGGACTGATTCCAGATTCGGTACTCGATTTGACAAGCTTTTCAGCTCCTTTAGTTTATCAATTCATAGAATCATATATCCAACAATAAACGCAAATAAATATAATCAGTATTGGGATCGCCTTGTTTGCATAGGAAAGATGTAGAACCTCGTATGATTCAGTTTTGATATTCCACTATAAAGCTTACCGAGATTACTTGTCATAATAATAATGGTATTTCGAAAATCGACTTTGTGCCCTTGAGAGTCGGTCAGAAATCCATCGTCCAATACTGTATTCAGAAAGTCGATTAGCTTATTGAATCTCGCTCACATAGTATCAAATTGGAGTCAATACTACCTTGAAGCAAAATGTTTGACACATCTCGATGGGCCTTTTCAATTTCATCCAACAAGACAATCGAGTAAGGTTTACGTCGCACTGCTTCTGTGAGTTGTCCACCATCATCATGTCCAATATAGCCTGGTGGAGCACCCACAAGACGTGATATTGCAAATCGTTCCATATATTCGCTCATATCTAAACGAACAATGGCTCTGTCGGTATCAAACATAAATCTAGCAAGCGATTTACACAGCTCCGTCTGATTTAAAGTTGAAGTGTATTTTAATAAACTTGACAACAGTTGTAACAAACTACGTATGCAATTTAAACTCACCTTGCCAACACCCGTTGGTCCCAAAAAAAGAAACGAGGCAATTGGACGGTTGGGTGCTTGAAGACCAGCACGGCTAAGACGAACAGCATCAGCAACAGCTAGCATTTACACATGACAAACAATACGCGGTTAACTAATAAGAAATCTTGTAGAATGTATTTCACAGTAAAACACATACCTTTAATTGCCTTGTCTTGCCCAACAACACTCTTTTTGAGCTCCGTTTCCAGATTTAGCAACTTGTTACGCTCTCCTTGCATCATGGACTAAATACAAATAATCATGTGAATTCCTAGCAGTCGTGCATCAGATTTATGGTTCAACATATCAATGCCTTACGGTGATTGGTATTCCTGTAGCGCGAGATACAACTTTGGCAATATCATCAACAGTCACACGCTCATGTACAAGACGATTGCCGCTTTCGTCGTCACTAAAGTTGCATAGTACTATTGGTTACAACACAGTTGTATAGAGTTGACACAAACTCAATCTACCAAATGGTCATAAACTTACCCATCACTTGGAAGCTCTTTTTCAAGTTTAGGAATTGTATCATAGAGTAATTCAGACGCCCGTAGCAAGTTTCCTTGGCGCTGTGCAAATTCATAGTCAACACGAGCTTGTTCAAGTTCCTCTTTTACTTGCTTGATACGATCTAGTTTTTTACTGTGTATCCAACAATCGATTGGCGTGTCAATAAGGGGGCTCGAATTAGAATCGTTTGAAAAGCATGTTGGTTAAATACACGGCACTTACCGCTCATTCAGCCATATGGCATTTAGATTGTTTGCCTCGGTTTGTTTTTCTTGTAGCTCCTTTGTAAGCAAGTCGCGTCGCTGCTTCGAAGCCTGATCCTTTTCTTTACGCAGAGACTCTAGCTCAATTTTAAGAGTGAGAATACTACGGTCAAGACTTTCAAGAGAATCTGGCTTGCTTTCCTGGGCAAGACGAAGTGTAGAGCATGCTTCATCCACCAAATCGATTGCCTTGTCTGGAAGATAGCGATCGGTAATATATCGGTGAGAAAACTGGGCTGCTGCGACGAGAGCACTATCGGATATACGCACACCATGATGTACTTCGTACTTTTCCTTGAGACCACGCAAAATGGAAATTGATGCATCAACGCTAGGCTCATCAACCAGTACGCTTTGGAATCGCCGTGCAAGTGCAGGATCCTGCAATCAATTTTAAAAAGTGTTTAAATTAGTACTCTACTTAATCTGACAAGTTGGGGTATAAGTCATTGGCTCATAGTATTCAATAAATACCTTTTCAATGTATTTGCGATACTCGTCAATTGTAGTTGCTCCACAACAGCGAAGTGTTCCGCGAGCCAGTGCTGGCTTGAGCATATTACTGGCATCTATACCACCTTCGCCCTTTCCGAGTCCAAAAAGCATGTGGAGTTCTATAAAACCCGTCATAATAATAAGATTTAGACACGAGTAATTCAACCGATTTTACAATACATCAATTTAGGATTAAGCTTCCAGTTTTCTAAACTGTGCATACCATCAATAAATAAAACAATTTCTCCTTCACTGGTCTCGATATCTTTGAGAATCGCTTTGAGTCTTTCTTCAAACTCTCCTCTAAATTTGGTTCCTGCTATCAGCGCCTAGTCAAAATGCACTCGTGAGTTTTATACTTTATGGACTCCTTAGATATCCTACTCGAATCTGCAATAAAATATAGTATTGATTCTTACCCCTAGATCTAGTGAGATCACCCGTTTGTTTTTCATGCTTTCTGGTACTTCATTTTTGATGATCCGCTGGGCGAGTCCCTCGGCAATAGCCGTTTTACCGACGCCTGCTTTACCAATCAATACTGGATTGTTTTTTGTGCGTCTCGAAAGTCTATCCGGTAATATTTGACAAGATATTTATAGTCAGTCTCAAAAAAAACAATACTTGATCATTGTATATCTTACACTTGAAGAGTTCGACGGATTTCTTCGTCTCGACCAATTACTGGATCCAAACGACCTTGAGAAGCCAATGCAGTTAAATCTTGTGCGTATTTGGCCAATGCAGCGCCAGGGGGTTCAGGCTCTTGGGTTCCACCCATTTGAAATCCTGGAAATCCACCTAATAGAATCAATACATAGCAAGTGGATAAATCAACTAGTTTAACAGGGGATGCAACCACAAGTTTCAAGCAATGGTCCAGATTTATGCTATTTTTAAAAATAACAGATATGGAGATTCAGTCATACCTGGAACAGCTTGACGTTGAACAGTAGCAGAATGGAAATGAGTCTTATTTTCCCATTTCTGACTAAAACCCGGTATGGATGGATTAGCGATACTAAATGGATTACAAACTAGGCGTCGAGTCTGTTGAAAGGATTGGAGTCCAAAAGGGACTCGTTTAATCAAGGTTGATCGAGGTTTGGCAGTTAAACAAAGTAGATTATTCATCATGATTTGTAATCGTATTCAAGTCGATTGTCCAACAACAGTAATTTTAGAATTCGGTCGTAGTTTTAGCAACAGTAGTGAAATTGTGATGTTTTTCAGGTTTACAGCTGTATTCACGTCAAATGTAATTCTATTTATTCGACTGCTTCGATATAAACATTCTTGATCCTTCTAAACAATGTTCATCATATGATACGATCAAATTACAGTTTAAATTGATTGTTCTTTTCTTTACGCTCTACTTCAAGAGAATAGAGATTGTTGGAATGCAGCTGTACATGCTAGTCACGCATTGTTTTGTACGAGAGCTGGGGATTCAACAAGTGTGAGATATACCAGAGCAGTAGTGTAATTGAACATTTGTCCAGTTCCTATTTAGCGTTTCATTATGTGAATACAGTTGTAATGAGAATTTGAATTGACTAGAAATTTCTGGAATTTGATGGAGCAAACTGATTCGTTGAACTCGGGCCCAAATGAGTAAATAGTATGGAAACATGAATCAAGTTACAACAGCGTTTGTTTACCTCTCATTTAGTTTTATCATGCAATGGATATACTAGTCACTGTATTTCTTTCATCACTGATTCAAGACCATCTAGTTTACGGCAGTTTCTCCTTTGCTGTTGTAAGAAACCCACAGTATGAGATCAAATATAAACCAAAAGTCGATACCGTGCATGGAGTACACTTGGTGATAAGATAGAAATTGAGAAACACTAACAAGGAACAATGGATAGCGTAAATATCAATTCCATTCAAATATACCTTCAAGTCACAAGCAAGATGATCAGATATACAACCGTATTTACGTAGAATGAAATACCTGTATTGGCTCTATTTTACTCCAAAATAAACAGTGATTAAGCATTTGTTGTTATTGGAAATTGATTACTTTTTTTATACACAAGCTCTCAATTATTTGGTGTCTGGAGTAATTTATGCAGGATTCAATAATGGGCAGTATGATGATGTATAGTGTAATTCCAACCTCGCGCTGTTTGAACGGTTGGTAAACCATGTTCAATTAGAATTGCTTTGTGGAGTGGAATGCCGTCCAAAATGAATTGACGGTTTGGGAATGTTGCATATTATTGTTTAGAAATTCAGAATATTGCATTGCTCACCGTTTCTTGATCAATCTCCAAACACAGCGACCATCATATGAGACATACAATCAAACTGCAGTTTTGAA